CACCTGAAAGGGCCTTTGAATTGGATTACAATGACATCAGGGGAGGGGAATGTGATCTGCTGCCAAGAGTTAGTGTTGAAGGATTTAGATATTAGTGTGACTGCGCATGATGTTAAGTTTGATGAGGAAAATCAGGTTGTTGGGTATATGGCATGAAAATGTGGTGATGAGATGGTGTTTTTCAGTGAGTTGATGTGCGGTTCTTGTATAGCTACTATGTCCCAATCCCAGGCGATGGGACTGTTGAGGAGGGAGTGTTGCACCAATAATAAGGTATTGAGATTCTGTTGCCATACACGTATTCGGGCCGGTGTTGTTCTTTGTTATTCAGACATAAAGAGGGGAAGGGGACCAGGGAGCTGCTGTGGTGACAAACAGAGTAATTTCCATAAGTATAGACCTGGGTATCATGGGATGTGAGGAGGTCTTGGAGGCCTGAGAGTCTATGTTTGGGTCCCATGAGCCAGAGGTATTGATCAGGATTGAGTTTGGGCCAGTCATTGTAGATGCTCAGAGAATCCTCTGTGGCCTAGGTGGAAAGGTGTTCCTCTGGCATGGTATACTCTGGTTAGATGACAGAGTTCGAACAGGATATTCATTTGTTGAAGATTGGGGTGAGGTTTCTCTGTTGGTGGGGGTGTTGCTGGTTTATGGTAGGGAGCTGGTTGTGGCGGAAGCATCACCCAGGTCTACAGATCATTAGTAGGGAAGAACAGCATTAAATTTTCAGGGTGGTTAGCATCAATGCCTGCACATTTAGATTCAAATTCAGGGCATCTCCTATCCCAACTGGCATGTTCTTGGGAGTTGCAGCTAACACAGTAGAAGGTGCGGTAAGTGTTGCAATGGTTGGTGCAGTGGCTTTTCCCACATGTGCTGCAGACATCTCGCATGGCCTGGCATTCACGTGCTATGTGTCCTCAGAGTTGACAGCATATGCAGCATACTGGTTCCCATTTGTCCTTCTGGGGATGGAGCTTCTCCAAACCAATGTACATACCATTCCTAAGAGTTTTGTTGGATGAGTGAGGGTCCGTGAAGTGGAACATTGTATGTGTGACTCGTTGCTGTTGTGACCTGCATTGTAGTGGTTTGATCCAGTTAGCTGATTCAATGGCGCCTGTAGGAATACTGTTTTTTTCCTCAACAGTGCGTAGCCAAGCTTTGTCTTTGATGCTAGAGGTAATAGGTAAGAAAGGGACAATGATCGAGAAACACCTATCTTTAATAGTTGCAGGTAATCCTAGAGCTGCAATGATCTTGAGTTGGTTTTCTGGTTTCCTTACCCATATAGCTGCTTCTGTAGACATGAGTTCCACTATGAGGCCTCTGTTCCGGAGGCAGGTGATTGCTTTGATCTGGATTTCTGGTAAGTGGTCCGATCCAGTGTAATCATGGTCACAGCACTGGGCTCGGAACCAGTCAATCTAACACTTACGTTCCATACCATTCCTCGACCTCCTTTGACCTTCTGAAGGCCATGCACACTTGTCCAAACCCACAAATTACCATACCATGTCCTATCCTCGTCCTTTTGACTTTGCTGGTGTATCTTCCCTTATTCTATCTATATGTTGACTATGTCTTAGTGCTACATGGATAAATCCCATTGGCATCCTGTCGGGAGCCTCAGAATATGTATAAACAATACGCCTTGCAGCTTATTACATGTATACTTGCATTGCTGCTTGTCTTGCAGATATAATCTTGCTGGCTGGCTACTGATACTGCACTTCACTTCCCGTACTTCAAGTCATAGTTAGTAGAGTCACCTTGGTATATTCGGAACTGTGCAATTGATTTGTTGTTCATTCGGAATGATTGTTTGGCTAGACTGCTGCCAATTCTGCATTTCATTTATTCTTGAGTTCCGATAGATTAGTGTCATTCCAAACTTTGGATGATTCGCAAAGTCTTATATTATTTGACACATAGACACACCGACACATTCTGACCTTCGGACAGCTCTCACAAACCTCAGAAGACATTGTGCTACTCCAGATATCACTTTCGCAGCTTCAGACGACCTTCAGTCGCATCAGACAAGTATCTCGGTACTTTGGATGTAGTCTTGGAACTTCAGATGAACATTAGAGGTTTACTTCTCAATATCTTGTCTACTCTCTGACTGTATAAGACTTCCCTTGCATTTTCATCAAGGTAGTTTTTAGGTTGTCTCTTGGGACGAAGCACACTCGCATCTCTCAGGACTTGGGACTCACATTCTGTAGAGCTCAGCCTAGATTTACTCTTTACACCAGTCTCTGTTAACACTTGTTTCATTTTAGTTGCTATGTTTGCTGATGTGACATCAGGTGCAAATAGGGCTTCGCCTGGTGTTGGTTCAAATAGGATTTGTTGTTGCCTTATGGAAGTGCAGTTGATCGCTGCCAAGATAGGAGCCAGGCTACTGTAGCTTGTGTGGAAATGACAATCGCTCACCTTTGTCATAGACGATCACACCCCATCTACCGATGCCCTCCAACATAGGCATTGGTACGGGTAAACCCGCGGGTGTCGAAGCTTAGACCTGCACCCATACCCATACACCCAAGGGTACAAATGGGTATGGGTCTCAAGATGGGTAGCAGCGGGTAGTGACAGGTACATGGGTACTGCACGGGTATGTTATAAAAAACGCTGTAGATAGTACATAGGTCAAGTAAATACAATGTCATCCCAGCCAGCCTCGAGATCAGCCTCATCTCCCTCGAGGTCTGGCAGCCTTGCAACAGACATAACATCACCATCCTTCACTAAACCTTTCAAACTCCAGCAGCTTAAGCAAAGTACAGCGCATGTCGTCTCAGCAGAAAGTCGTGACCAAACATGGGATAAAAGTAAGCGGCCCCGCGAGAAAACATGTTCAACATCAACAGATGTCGCTAGAAATGAATGTTAGAGTGATCTAGCGAGACAGCGCACAACACATACCAGGAATAGTCAAGAAATTGAGTGCCATGCGAGACAGATGAGGGTAAGTTGAGTGTTGCCATTTCCACCATACGAGGGCATCCTCCACTTCCTTGACACCAGTGTTGAGATACGCATCGAGTTCATTAGTCGCAGGAGCCTTTGCAGGCTTTGCGAGGGCAGGCAGGCGATCAAAAATATTAGTGGTAGTATCATCATCCTGTAGCGCTAAATTTCAATATGAAATAAAAATAAAAATACAATGGCGCACCTGGGCTATTGGGCCACCTGAGTCTTCCAATGCTTGAGTAGCTCCAGTAGAGTGGGTTGTGTATGAGTGCTTGTATGTGTTGCGGACAATGCGATGAGCTGTTGCAATCCAGTCGTCTTCCCATCCAGCAGTCTTGAAGTATTCAAGCTTATGGCGTGGATGCAAAACTGCAAGAGACTTGTCAGCAAATCTGTAGTACAAGTGTGAACAAAAGGACATACCCATGGCGATGCAGTAAGTCTCTGACTTATCAGTAAGAGAATAATACCTATTTAATGTTTTCTTGGCGAGACGCAGAGCGGTGCGAATGGCAGGGTCGAGTAGTTGGGAATTAACAATCCCGTTAGTCAGGACAGTATCAATGTGATCCATGGCGGGGATCACCATGGCAAGATTGGGTGTTCCCCGAGAAAAAAAGAGTGTTGCGTGCTTCAAGATCTTTTGTTCAATGAGATTGAGACAAAGTGCAACCTTGTGACATGTGACATACCTTCAATACATCACATAGCTGTTTTGCCAATGCCCACTCCTTCCCACTCAACTCCAAGACCCCCAACCCCATTCGTCGTTTGTCTGTCATCACGTCAATTGCTGCTCGGTATTCGATTGCAAATAGCAGCATATTGAAAGTCGAGTTCCACCGTGTTGAGATGTCACGGAGCATGATTCTTTCTGGCAACTTCAACTCAGCCAAGGTGAGTTTCCATTCCGGAAGAATTAGCGTTGTTGAATGAATCATCTTGTAGGCAAGTTTCCGGAGCTGTTTGTTATGGTCAAATGGTTGCAAGGTATGTGTTTGATTTGACAAACTTTGACAAGGAGTAATCTAATTGGCTGTATATGTGTCTGTAGCTCTTTGCGCTCGACATCTGTCAGCGCAGACGTTTCATCGACCCACCCTTCTATGTTGTCGAATTCGTCACTGTTTGGATCCCCATCTCCGTTTTCAGCTACTGTTATCCGATTCTCCCACTTGATATCAGTTGCGAGTTCTCACATATCCTCTTCAGCCTTGCTAAGGACCTCGTCAGCCTTCTTCTTGGGTAAGTCGAACTCCTTAATCAAGCTTTTTGCAATGAGATTGACCACGTGTAGAAAGCAACATGTCCACACGGGTTCGCCACCAAAATGTGCTACAAGATCCCCAAGTTCAGCAGTCATTGTGTCATTGTTGGATGCATTGTTGGCAGTGACACTTAGGATCTATCAATATGTAAGTTTTTGTGCATGTATGTTAGAGAATGACTGACCTTATCTGTTATTCCAAAGTCTTGCAAAATTTTTGCAAATGCTTCAGCAAGATGGAATCCAGTGTGCGACTGGGCGGAAAATAAGGTTTGTCAGTTTGTCTTTATGATCAGTGCATGTATACTCACCTTTTCAACCTCTATTATGTCCAGGAGCATTGCCAATGGTTCACCCTCGTGCTCGAGGTGAACCGAAACAGCTACAAATGCCTTATGGTTTGGTGAAGTCCACACATCCGTGGCGAAGTTCAATTCACCATTGTAAGTCTGTAGCATTTTTGCAATACCTTTTCTGACATTGACAAATACAAGCTTGACATCGCGAGAAACTGTTGATGGCGATGGGATGTAATATTCAGGGTGTCCCATTTTCATCAAGCATTGGAACCCTCTATTGTTAACAATCTCGAATGGGCGCAAGCTTTCACTAACCCAGCGTACGATTTCGGCTCTGATCAATGCCATGAGTTTACAGTTGCTTCATTGTGTAATGTACTCACTTCGTCTCTGTCTTTGTATGTTGCCGGTGTGAATATGACACCTTGCCCTTGCCCTTTCATTCAAATGCAGTGGTGATTGAGCCAGTCTGTAGAATACTTGTAACCACCCCTTCACATGTGGAGACTGCTGTTTTTGCATCTTGGGCAGCCTTGTATGCAGCCTCACCCCAACAACTCTTGACATGTTTTGCCATGTTGCTGGTTGACTTCGTGTCACCTTTATCAAGATACCTTCGAATGCGCTGCTTGCAGCCTTTTCCAATGCACTTGAAGACATGTGCGTGGCGTCCGTTTGTGTACTCGATGCTTGGTGTCAGTTCAAAAAAAGCATATACAGGTGATGTCCAACATTTCTTTAACCTCTCTATGTGACATCTACTGATTAAAATCATGAACACTATGACAGGAATCAAGGACTTGCCAAGTTCATCATCTGAGGCCTCAGCATCAGAATCATCAACACCAGCCTTCGATTTTTCTGACTCTGTGTCAGACTTGACAACAATGGCATTTCCATGTAAGGATTCCTCCTCCTCTTCTGTATGAACTGTAGGTTGCCTGCAAAGAGGCTAACTATTGGCAGTACTGGCTGGGGGACTTGAATTCAGCGAGTTTGTTTCTGAAGATTTCGAAGGTACATTCTTCAACTTCTTCAATGGTGCCTTGTTACTAATACCGCTAACCTTTCATTTCAGCCCATGGCTTCCATCGGCAACAGCCTGAGCTGCTTTCACTGTGAGTTTCTTGACATGTTTGCCAAACATAGCCGAGGGGAGATTGTGCGTGAGATTGAAGGTTATAATAATGATCCCATTTGTGTAGTGTTTAAGGTTTATGAAGAACTGTACAGTTGCTCGAAGTTTAATGTTTGTCAGTTCTGTTGACTCAGACTCCACGGGTATGTCACGGGTCACGGGTACCAAGCACCTATACCCGTACCCATACCCGTGAGGTACCCGTACCCGTGACCTATGCGGGTTACCCATACCCATGCCAATACCTACTCCAACATGCCCATCCTGAGGGAAATATTCTCCTGGTATTTGTTGTGCTTGTACAGATGATCTTCGGTGAGTCCTTTGAATCCTCTAATCTTGTCTCTTTTCTTAGTGTACAGGTTTATCTCATCTATGAGAGTCTGCTGATATTTTCATATTACAGCGACTTGGTGTTTCCCGGATGCCCCAATGATGGATTCGAAGTCATTCTCTGCAAGCTAGAGTTCAGGTACATTGTCCACATCTGTAAAGTCTTTTGCAAGTGAGTCTGCATTTATGACTTGTCCAACCTTGATGATCAGGATCAGTGGAATTGCTGATGACTGTTACACGCGGCATAATATTGAACTTGGATAGGTCTACTCTCTTATCTCCAATAAAGGAGAGATTAAGAAGAGAGGGCATTCTGCAGCCTAGTACAAGACTAGCTCCCACAGTCAACCAGCAGAGCCCCTTCCTATTAAGGAAGTAGGTTGGTGGTCAACCATCTAGGAGACAGATTGTGCTCACAGCTAGAGGAAAAGAGTGTTCCTCTCAGAAGTTAAGCAGTGTTCTAATGGTCACACACTAGAGAGAATTACTAGTGTGTACCAAGGGGTTCTGGTAGAACCAAGTACCAAAGGTACCTAGTTGTTCTGGTAAAACCAAGTAGATTAAGATAGTGTATCTACTACAAAGCAGACATCTTTATATAGATACAAGTCTGTGGTTGCACTATGTCTGATAAGGAGTCATGGATAGGTAAAGTAGTACAACCTATCAAGATAGCAAGTATAGGTGAAACATAGAAGACTGTTCATGCTGTGCATGTTGATAGTAGTCAAGTAACAATCAAAATAATCAAAAAGAAGAGAAGTGCAGACAGCCCACTTGATAAGAGATCCAGCCGAGTCTAGAGGAAGCCATCAGATAAGAGAATCTAACCAGGTCTAGAAGAGTCTAGAGAAGGCAGCAATGTAACCAGTCTAGAGATGTTCTAGAAGAGTGGTTATGGTTCCAAGAAAGAGAAATAAAGTAGGGTTATAAATGTTATTGTAACAATGACTCTCTCATACACAGGATCCCAGAATCATGAAATGATTGCACCAACTTGGTTGTTTCAGCTTCAGCTTTGGGCCTGTCATTGTACACTCTGAATTTAAATCTGTCCATCAGCATGAGGATGTCAATCCACATGACACTGACCCTGCATCTGGCTGCCTGCATGTTCAACTTTTGCATCTGTTTCACAATGTCGTTTGCAGGTACCTTTGGTTGTGCGGGTCTGTCATCCAGGTGGAAATGACTTGCTCCTCTGGCCTGATAGGCATACATATGTTTTATTTTAGGTCAGTTGTTCTTGCCTTCTTTTTATTTTGAACTCACACTCTCATTCACACTCTTTTTGCCTTGTCTTGTTGTTTTTCTCGGCATAGAATAATATAAATTGTGAAATAGCCCCAGTGGGACTATTGTGAGATATATACAGCTCTACTTTTGCTGTTCCAATTCTAATCCACGCTTAGTTGGTATGGCTGGTCTGCACAAGCCAAGATCCACTTCATTATGCCCATTATTGGTACTGATATCTTTTGATTCAGATCAATGACAACTTTGTGGGTCTCACATCAAACCATTGTTCGTGGCTAACCTCTTTAAAGCCTCCCTATTCAACCATACCTCGTAGATACATTCACCTATGCTGCAAGTGCAACCACAGTGGCTTCTGTGCATTGCCCATACATTGAATTTTGTCGGCACCTCTGAACATATCATCAGACGTTACATCAGTGAATTGATGAGTTTGTGATATTTTACCCATGGTAAATACAGAAGAATATAATTCTGCTCCTAGTAAATATGGCAATATATAGTGAGATAAATCTGAGTTGTTGGTACATAGCCATTCATGTCTGCAAATCTAGATTATTGCGAGCAGTTCATGATAAGGTTGTGATGTTGTAGCGTGATGGTTGGCAAGAGATGGCAGTGTAAGTGTGTCCCCCTTGTGGAGCATTCTCATTCTTCAAAATTTATATTATGAATTATATGACTATCTAAGACTTCCTCTCAGAAAGGGGTGTTCATATTGGTCATCAAGACTAAATTAGCACGTGAGTTTATAACAATGTCGTGATATTGTGCCATCGCTGCCTGTAAGGATCAATAGCGTCAACTTCATATGTTTTGTGAGTGTTCTCATTTTTTCTTTTTTATGTTTTAACTAGAAGGTTATTTATGACCTTGCAATAGAACACATCTTTCACATGAATCAACCACATGTCATGGTTGGCCCATGAATAGAATCATGACAAGCTTTGACATTTTGCAAGAGGTTGATGGCGCTGGGCACGGGAGAGTTTTACTTATCTGAATATGAGACCTACCACACGAATAGATTTGTCTGACTGTTTTGTGGTAGATTCTTTCCCTTCTTGACCTCAAGGAGTTTAGAATAGGAAAACTTCAAAACATTGCTAAGTTGCTTTGACATGCGCAAAATTCATCGCCAGAAATTCTTCCAAGATAACATTTCATGCAGAAAGCATGAGCATGATCAAGACGACGGTCTGCAGTTTGGCTAAAGACTTTGTCCACTCCCATATTACATCCATTCTGTCACCAAAACCCAAAATAATCACATTTTCTGCTCTATATTAGTTTGACATTGTGCCCTACAAATGCCAAACAAGACCAAATTGGATATACATACAACTGAGAACAGACCTCTACCATAACGTAATGTGGCTGAAAATCATGCACCATGCCTCGTTTCACTTCTTCCACAAACTTCGTTTCAACTTGAGTTTGAGAGCCAGGGAGAGCTGAACTCCTCCGAGCGAACCCTCACAACGTCATTTCTCTTGATCCCGTTCCTATTGTCGAAATTTTCGAGTTTCAAACTCCCAGCAGTGCATAGCATAACGAGATGAATCGTGTTTGACACATTGAAGTGGGCCTTGTGGTTGTGAGATTGATGCTCTTCCCAAGCCTCCAGAAGGCTGTACAATGCACAGGCAAAAGTGAGGATGGTAATAGTGGTAAGCGGTGAAGGTTCAAACAATTCAGATGGTTAGTCTGAACAATGTTGGGTCTTGCTGCCTAGATACATTGTCTAGAAGACAGTGTTCGACCCTAAAGGGTTTTTGTACTAAGCTCAAGGCTCAGAGAGAGAGGAAAACTACTAAGACTCAAACTGGTGGTGGAAACTGGTGAAGAGGTAACTTCATTATGTAAGCTACAAAATAGCAAACATAAGGTAAAGACAGTATCTACAAGCCTAGTCAGGAATGAGTCTCTACAGCAGCATTGTAGCAAACAGATATGTCAGCGAGTTCTTAGCCCAGTGAGTCCAGCCTATTGTCAATATGAACATGGTCCCATTGACTTGGGAAGAGAGGTTGTTTGGGATGTCATTATTGGGGACGCTGCCTACAGCCATAAACCCGGAGTGAAGGAACTGTAAAACAATGCTGGGTTAACTCAGACTATGTTGAACGGACCAGCAATCTTACCGTGGCAGAAAACTCGACAACACCACACCAGTAATCCTCCTAAGAAAGTCATAAGAGGTGGATCAAGATTGTATGACATGAAACTGATGAGCTCAAGGTAAACCTGTGTGTCATTGAGATTGTTATTGACATACTCGGTAGTGGTCGAGGAATAGATGGAATATAAGGTATCCCCAATTGTGCTGCTCATAAGTTCTTGCGAGTTGATTGATTGATACCTAGCAACTCCAGCGATAAATAACAGCAGCTCGGTGTTCTCTGGGTGGAAAGGAGCAGATAAGATGACCTCAGAAGAAATTTGTTCATTAGAATAATTGGCGTGGACTGTGGTTAACAGGGGAACCACTTTGCATGTGCTTGCTTTAAGGGAATTATACTTGTAAAACCCTTGTGTGAAAATGGCTACAAGAACAGATTTGGTCAATGACTCCAAATGTGTATATTTCAAGGGCTCACTGAAGCTTGTATAAGTTTGGTTCACATCTATTGGTCCTAGGCACACAACAGATGGAAGAAAGCCACTCCCTGATGACCTCATATTTTCCATTTGCATCCACCATGGTCACATATTTGCACGCTGTCAGTGAACTCTAAAAAAAATTGTTTAAGATTCAAACTTACTGATACCACAGTTTGCACTGATATTCCACAAGTGAAGACCGGTAATGGAGTTGTTGCTCGAAGCAGCTGCATTGGTATAGATGATGTAAGAGTTGTTCGTATCTCAAAGGTACTGTGTTTGACTCGAGTCAATGGCCCAGCAGCTGATATTTGCTGTCAACCCTTGTTGCCGCATCAAATAGTTTGTGCTGAAACCTTGAGGAATACTAGGCACATTGGAGTGTGATCCAGGTATGGCTCCTGTGTTGACTGTGACATTTCCACCAGAGATCCTGAGACAAGTACCATTAGCATCCAGAATTCCATCTGAGCCAGAAAACAACTCAATAGTAGTACCTGGGGCGCGTTGTTTGTAGTAATCCTTCATTGGTCATTAGAAGATCGCATATGTGTTGTTCAGATATCACACATGCTTCAGGAGAGCATACCTGTAGATTTAGTAACCTGCGTTGTTTTCACCATCTGTTTCCGGAGTGAGGGTGCTTGATACCAGCAAGGAATTTTGAACTTTGTCAGTAGAGCAGATATGGGTTTCCTTGTGCAGATTCCCGAGTCATAGACATAGTGGTTGCCAGATACAGAAGATCTGATAGACAGAGTAGACATGGAAGATCTCAGAGACACAAGGTGAGTTTGTACCATAGGCTCCTGGCCAAACAAAGTGACCACAAACTGTTTGTAGTCTGCCTGAACTCTTTTCTCCTCTGCTGCTAACAAGTGAGGACAACAATATGCTGAACTAAAGTTTCCATTGTGGCAGTGGCATCCTGAGATGCATGTAGTAGTATTAGCAGGACTTTTTTTTTTTTTCAATCTGATCATTCCACAAAGTTTGTTAAAATGAAAATAGAAAAGTAAGATAATATTAAGAACACAAACAAACTTGAAATGCTCCTTGCTGAAGTAGTAGTCAATCAGGGTACCTAAGGTGTGATAGGCAACTTGAATGTTTGAGATCTTCCACACAGGCAAGCACAGCTCCAAGGGAAACTACAGCATTCCAAGTGGTTATGAAATATGTTCCCCCCAGTGTCGTGGCTGATGTTGTATATATGAGTAGCACCCATGTCAGAACATACTGCTGGAGAAGGATAGACAGTTTTTACTGTTCTGGAGCAGGGACAACACCATGCTTTATAAGTGGAAAGATGAGAGAGTAGATGGATTGTAAAATTTTACAAGGTTGTCGCCAATCATCATCTCAGAGCACAACAGAGAACTTGCAAATCCAGCCACAAATAAAAAGAACAAGCTTCGCTTGCTAGTGGTAAAAGCCCAAGTAGATCATGGGACAAGCCAGCAGACACTGAGTAAGATGCAGTGTACACCACCCTGCAGGAAGAAAAATAATAACAAACAATCAACTGAGCAGCTACCCGGGACTCACCGCTATCTTGTCAATGGTGACCAACCTTCAATCGCACTCTTCTGTGGACAGGACTCCTTCCGATGTCAGGCATTGTACAAGGGACACAGTTTGATGCAGGTTGAAAAATGTATGGTTTCATACTACTACTATGTAGTAGTGCCAGTGACTGCAGCAGTGTCACTTAGGCTATCCTCGTACTAGCACTCTACAAGGTAGGTGACCGACCTTTCTCACTCTTGACTTTGAAACTGTGGATCTTCATTTCTTGAGCATTTCACAAGATAAGGGTCTTGACTCTTGAGGTTCGAAGCAGGTCATGAAATCTACAGTCGCCTGCCAGAGAGGACATATCAATTCTGATAATGTAGTAAGGTCGCCCCCTCAGGAGATCATATCTTCATTCTTCACAAGTTACTGACCTTTGCTCTCAGACTCGGAATTGTGGATTTTCCTTCCAATGTCACGCATCTCACAAAATGGTGCTAAGGTTTGACACAGGTCGCGAAACTTATAGTCGCCCCCTCAGAAGATCATATCCTCATCCTCTGCAAGTCACTGACCTTTGCTCTGAGCTTCAGAACTGTGGAACTCTCTCCTGATGTCAGGCATCTCACAAGAGGATGCTAAAGTTCAATGCAGGTTGCAAAACATAAGGTTGCCCCCTTGGAAGATCATGTCCTCATCCTTTACAAGTCACTAACCTTTGCTCTTAGTACTAGGCCTGGAGTTTGAGACCTTTTCCTCATATCATACTCTCAATGGAGGAAAGTTGTGTTAGTTTTTGTGATCAAAATGTACTGCACTATGATAGTAATGTCATTTATCCCTGACTCAGCTACCAATGCTAGTGGTACTGTGGACCCTTCTCATTTTTGAAACAGTCATGATTGAGCATGAGTCACTCAGGTATTCTGGTAGTACTCTAGTAGTAGTATTCATGGCCAAATTAGAGTAGGACCTGATGGCATTTTCAAAGCATTGTAAACTTGTAATCAAAGTGGTACTAATGCAGTGCTACAGACTCGGAAGCACTGAAAGGATTTGAGTGTTGCTAGCAGAAGATGGAGGGTTCAAGACAGACTTGGAGGATACTACTAACTTGAATGGTGCACATCTAAAAAGACAGCAAATCATCAAACTCATCCTGGGCCTCATTGCCATCAATGTCTTTGACATGGTCAAGCTCCAAATCCTCATCACCAAACTCTTCATCGCTCACTTCCCCTGAGTCTGAATCTGAGTCCAAGTCCAAGTCCAAGTTGTCATCCTCCATGTCATAGTGACCGTTCTCGTCATGGCCCATGTCTAAGTCTGTCTTGTTAGTACTGGTCACACCACTCACAACACCTCCGAGTGCCACAGATTTACAGTCACTGGCTATCCTCTGCAGCATCGCTGGATGGCCAATACCAAAGTTTGTATAATGAATGAACATATCCCAATCCACAAATCTAAAAAGTAAATGAGTACATAGCACCAGAACTGATGTTTTTACTCACACACCGACATAATATGTTTTCCAATCATCTAGCTCACCACCAGGACATGCTAAAAATTTCCCATGGCAAAGCAAACTTACACCACATCCAGAATTAAAGGCTAGAATCAAGTGAGCCCCTCGAATGACAGGATCAAGAAACCCGAATGCATCTATGTCTGACTCCTCAATGAAGGCGAGCTTGGGAAGGTGAGCATGATTCACACCAGATTTATGGTTCTGGATTGGTGCCAGCCATCTAACCCAGAGGACCTCAAGGCGCTCTTTCACAGGTTGAGCTCCCTCATTGAGCCATGTGTCCATATGGTATATGCCCAATACATGGGCATACCAGTATGGATGGTTAGGTGTTGTCTCTCCCGAAAGCACCATGATGTCGCCATGTGTCCTAGGATTGATAGTATCATACTCTTGCCTGATGTTGTATGTGGTATAATGAACTTGCATCATTTGAACTGAATAAATTGTGTCATTTGGGATAATGACTGACCAATGCTCTTTGTCTGAGAAGGTGAAGTCGCAATAACTAACATCTAGCTTGCGCAGTCTATAGAGGACATGGTCCTTTAATTTTGGTATAAATTTCTGATAATTGTCATGAGTAAGGCGCCTTGAAGATACACGATCACTTCTACCTTGAGAGCTGGATCATTATTATTTTCTCGAAGAAACATGAATAGGGGGAGCAGGTGGTTCCGACTGGTTGTAATGTGGTGATGCTTTCCAGAGGAGGGAGTGTCAATAGGTGGTTGACTAATAGAAGAGGATATTCCTCCTGCTTCTGCCACCCACCAGAGTACACGGTGCCTGCGCTCGTGCTTGGCTAACTGCATGGGGGTGTCTAACTTACTTGTCAGTGGATAGAATGCATTTAGCATGCAGTGCGCAAGCTCCCCCTGTCAATGGTCATTTCAGGTGCATACTGGTGAATGTATTTGATATGCACGATTTGTGTAGTAAACGAATCTGTCATCCTGATGTAGAGATTCACATAGTTACAGGTCTGCAACACGTTGTACTTCAGTGCATACCACCCAGGTTCGTGGCACCAACTTGCAGCATCATTCCTTAGCCTTTTCCCAGCTATTTCCATATCAGCCGACACTTTCCCGTGTGTGCAACCCTTGCACATCACTCGCTTTCCTGCACTTTCATCGCTCTATCATCCAGGAGCATCCATCCACTGTCCAGCAAGTCTCCCTTGTATGTATTTTTGCTTTTATTCAATATGGCACCATATTAGAGCATGGACCCTGACTTACATATCTTATTACATACATTATCTCACACTCAGCTCACTTAGCAAGACACATATATAGGCCGCATTTTTCACCCTTTACCACATTACACACTCCTTACCTTAGTGGAGTTCCCCCATGATGTCCATAGCCAGATTCAGAATTTATTAGTGTTACAAGAACATCTAGATGCTTGGGCCCCTACCATTTTTCTCCTCATCCTTCTGGTATCAGCCCTCGCATCATACCCTTACCCCGACCTCACCCTTGTTATCCTCGTCATCCTCGCATTCCCTTTTGTCCTCTACCTGTCGCTTCAGCAGAGCCAGTACATCTGGCCGGATCCTTTTGCTGATGAAGCATACCCATGCTCTGTTCCACCACCTGACTGATCCTGTGGACAGTCCCCTTGCCCTTACCATCCGGACGGTAACCTATGATATGATGCACGACACATCCCCTTTGCCCTTTTCCCCTTCTTGATCTCTGACTCAGTGCGCAGTCGCACATGCGACTTATACTTAGCCCCGCAGTTGCACGATCGTGCCCCTGCGCGTTTCACTTCTTATTTCGATCTTTTACTCACTTTCTTATCCAGCACGTTCTACCTCGCCCATGTCTCGACGCGAACATGTCTTCCTTTTATGGTCATACCCTTTACCGATTGCCTCTCTTGGTAGTATGAGTTATCACCCACTAATACGTCTCCTGTCCTCTATATAAACTCGCTACCATGTACTAGTATTCCCTAACTTGAATCTACTTGGTTCTTGACCTCCTACTCTCACCAGAGTGATCCTTTCTGCCTAGCCAGCAGTCTATATTCTATCTTTTTATCTGCTCTTCGCGGATAAGCCTATAGTCTCGACCTTTACTCATCGACTTCGTCGACGAGCAAAGCCCCTGTTAACTAGTCGGACTTCTGTCCTTCTAATTAACGACGATCTTACGATTAACCTTCGGGTGTCATAAGCCTAGGCCGATATAGCTTATCGTCTTGCACCCGCGTGACATAAGCTACCCGATTTGGACATAGGCGTCAAATCTTACTTGCCAAAACTCGCCAAGTAAGACCCCTAACCTTGGGCTAGCCCAAGGACGTCCTCAACCGTTGATGACACATGCTCTGTTTGAGCGTCGCCAACAGATACCATCCAAGTTGTAACAATTAGCGGCTTTTAGTAGTCATTCATTGAGCCCTCGTCCATTGCTCATTACATTTTGCATTTTTGCATTTTTGCTATTTTGCATTTTGCATTCCTGCGCTTCACACAGCCGCTGTGTGACTGTGGATTTATCTTCCTTGCTTCCCCTTGGATCGAACATGCTTGTCCCTGCAAGCATAGCAGACTAGGCATCGCACTGATCACTATATCAGCTTCTTGTATCCCTCCCTTAGATTTATCATTTGACCTAGAGCTGAGTTGATTCACCTTCACCAAATATCCTGATAGTTCTCATATAATTGCCCATGGCGTGACACTTATATATGTTCAAATTCAACTTCTTTACTCTTGCCCCAGTGAATTCCATAGAGCTGGTGTTGGTTTCAGAGCACTGGGTAGACCGTCTTTGGCGAGCTGATGCCTCCTTTGGTAGCTCAACAGTCTTGAAAGCAGTGCAAGTGTAGTCTTGAAACTTCCGCCATTTCCTGGAGAGTTTCTTGAATGTTTCTTCAAAAAAAAGTAGTGTCAAGTTGGTGTGGATCCTGAGCTTTGCAAGAGCATACCATTGTGCAAATTGATATAGGAGGGATTGCACAGCCGCATTGTGGCCAGGGGGAAACAGGCATTCAAAGACTGAAATAGCATACTGGAAACCTGTTAGCAAGCCCAACACAACAGATAAAGACAAACCTGTAAGATATCTTCGAAATTGCGAGCTGCTAACCTTTTCATCTTGGGTGTATTATTTGCAAACTTTTAAATGATGCCATTACCAAATGTTGGGACCTGGCAAAATCTAGTAAGATTGGAATTTGTTAGCATATGACTGGAATTCACACAAAAAATGTGTACTGGCTATCAAAGATTGTGATGAGTTTAATACTCTCAGGAAGGGAATAAAGAAGCCTCATCAGGTGTGTAAATAACGCCTTCCATGTTCCAAGTTTGCACACATGCATCAGGTCGACAATGAGCACATGAAATGGGTCAAGGCCCAGTGGTCCAAGCTTCTCGGCGAATCAATTCTGCGAGCAGGTTTAAATCAATTGTAAATTGTTAAGAAATGTGTTGCACACCAAAATAGCGACCCACAAGCCTTCACCAAGGGCATCTTTGACTTTTGCACCATCCATGGTATTACCCAATCCATAGATAAACTGGCACACTTTGATGACCTTCGCCATAGCATATACTTGTAAGTTATTTATGCGGCTTTTCATGTCCCTTACAAGACCAAGCTGATTGAATAAGTTTTTGGGTATGAGGCAGCGAGGGCACAGGCACAAGCCCATATCCTTGATCATCGCAATTAAAGCCCTAAACATGTATCACTCAGACAGTGCTACGGAGGTAATGAAGAAACTTACTTCTCAGGATAGTCAGCTGAATATGTGAAAATCCAAGGAAATACTTGCCACATGATTCCATTGGTGCATTTCAAAATGATGCCATGCCAATATGCATAAAGGAAGTCTTCATCCAGTAAAATGTCCCAGCATGCATAAAACAACTCCCTTTGGCAGTGGGTATGGAGGGAGGCCATGCCACTTTTTGAGATGCAAGGCAAGGCTCTCAGAATATCTTTAATACTATCCAGAAGCTAACAAGGGCAGCTACTGTCAATAGCAGTTGGTGTGTGTACAACAAAGAAGCTCACCAAAGGTAAAAATCCTACAAGATGACATGATCCTGATGTAGGCGACGAACGTACATATTTAGTCAGATTTCCAAAGTAGACATAGAGCAGCCAGGCCTTGGCAGTTCCAAAGTTTACCAGGTGAGTAGCATCCAAAACAAGCATGAAGCCTGCAATAACGTGTTCTAATGAACACCCGATTTCCCTCGGCAACTTGTGGAGACTGTCCTGAGCCTCCAGCCAGGCATCAGATGTATAGAGTTCATCGTATACTCTCTCTTCATGATGGTCAAGAGGATCCTTCCAGATGTGTTTGAAAGGAAAGAGATGGAATGCCACTGCCTGAGCATCCAAAAACGCCGCATGCACAACTTCAACAAGTGGGCAATAATGAAACCCGGGAATGGTATGAGACCTAGGTCCCTCCTTCTTTGACCTGACAGGAATGTCAATGGGTATGTCAGTCTTGATCCAATCATCTGGAAATTGATCCTCTTCCCACTCTTGTCCACATCCAGCTCGTGTAGGTTCTGTCTCACTGAGAATCACTTAAGGTACTCAGGGTCAAAGTCGTCTGCTAGCATCATGTCATTGACGAGGGTAATGACTTTAGTTTCTGATACCCGATTACTACCAGTATTCATCCAGGACATAAGTCGATAGAGGGTCATATTAGCAAAAGGGAATGGTGGTGCAAAGACCTCTGGTGATGAATCAAGTCCTTGAGTGGTTGCCAGATATGTCTTTGCCAGTAACGAGGAACAAACAAACTTATTTGGCTCAAAGGAAGGGCGTCGAGGATATACTTGACACAGACCAAAGGAGTTGTAGGTTGTCTATAATGTGTCCCTTAGTGTTAAAAGAACATGTCGAATCCTAGATCATGCTGGAAGCACGGCCAAATCTTGAGTAGTGCTCTGAACATTGTTATCAGAGTAATTGAGATCCTCCTCTGAGGGATTGACATAGTCTAAGTGTCTTGAAATTCGTCTCCTAGGACATACTTGCCCTAAAACAAGTCCAACAATCAAAAAAGTGATAGCAGATAGCCAATACCCAAAGAAATATGAACCAACTTGGAAATCTTCAAAGTTAACTCTGTTTCCATCATTGATGTCACTGTCCATCTCAGTATCAACATCAACATGATGTTGTGGAATCCCTATGAAGCAGCACTGTGAGTTGGTGAGGCTTCGACCAGATGCATACCCTGGCCTTTGCTCTGCCAGTAACCGGCAAGGGGTGATTGGTCTCGGACGGCCAAGTCTCTGAAGTCTGCATGATGAAAGATTACAATCTAGGTCAGGAGGATAACTCCATGTAAAGTGTTCATAGACTTGGACAGGTCTGAGTCACAGCTAGTACCAGTAGAACTGCCTGCCTGCCGGTGAGTGGAAGTTGTAGTAAAGTGGGTAGAAACCACATCCTTTGCCTGTTCCAGTCTCCTCTGACTTGCAAGGACATTGGATTTTTTATAGAAGTGACAACTAGCACAATGCCTGCTCAGTTTATGGGCATCTGTTGCCCTCTCCCATGGACACTGTAAAGCCCTGCAAGACACCATTAACAAAAGCAGTAAGCCTAAGAGAAAGGCGATCCAAAGAGACTCTATGGCAAAGTGCATTGCACTTTCCGGTAGGTTGCTAACAAATAGCAGCTACCAGGTAGCACTCAAGCTGGCACTAAAATGATGAAAATGAGTACTAGTGCTAGTGGTACTTGAAAGGGTGATCGGATGTCACAACACACTTTGGAACTAGCATGTCACACATACAGGGCATACTATAATTACTAATGAGTAACATGTCACATCAGCAGGCTACAAGTACATAGTACAAAGCCCTCCTAGGAGTCGGGAACTATTGCAACTAAAAACAAAAACTGTATATAAATAAAAAAGAAAAGTGTATGAGCCAACCAACAAAACAAAGCTATGGCATCTCAGAATTGTAAGTGAAAGAACCGATCATCACCTTCCTGTGACTGACTAGGCCTGGCAAGGTGCGAGTTGTAGCTCTCTTGTCGCATCCCGAGTTGTTGCGTCAACTCTGCCAAGTCAAATGCCATCTTGTGTCCATCATAATGTGAACTACCAGCGGGTTGTGAATAGTAGGAAGGGCCTGTGAGCGAGTTATCCGGGTCTGCAAAAGGGGGCATTAACAATGACTCAGAGCCTCCTGGGAAGGCGTGTGTCTGTGAGAAATGCGTAGGAATCTCCAAGTATGTCTCAGCTCCTGTTGGGCCCACTGGCAATGGTGCAGGCACAGTGAAAGATTGTGAGATAGGATACTTCAACTTCGACCTGAACAAGTCAAGAGGCTGAGACATTTCCGATGGTAACGAGGGTATATAGACAACTCCGACAGGCGGTGTGTCTTTTAACACCTCCTCCCTGCAAATCATAACTAAGGTGGTGCATATAGGCCGTATCAATCACTTACATTCCTCTTAAGTGGAGCTTGAACAAACAGTCTTTGAACTCCTTCCCATGGACTGGATGTGCGCAAGTACACTCCATATCTTTTACGATCTCAGAGTGCCAACTGGCGTATTTGGCCCTGCCGAAGTGGGCAGTGCATGGATTAACTATTTTGTCGATTGCAACTCGCAGCTAACAATAATACAGGATAGAGTATTAATAGCTATGCACATGAAAGTGGTGTATTACTCACCCCAACTGCTGACCATGACAATAGCATGACTGGAGTCGTGGTTAAGCTGCATCTAAAAGTCTCATCACAAAGCAGCAATTTGATGTCCTTGTACCATTTTTGAATATGGCCATCTATCAAATTTTTGTTGTTGAACATGAGAAGCTTGATGTTGTCGCCAGTGATGTTGTGACTGTGAAGGAAGTTTTTGAAGAGGCCTTCCTTTGATGGATCAAAGAGTACTGATTGATGATCTCTCATATGTTCTTGGCAGGCAGAGGTGGACAACTGAGAATCGTCTGGCGGCTTGATATTGTACTGCAATGTAAAGGGCTCGAATGCTTTGACAAGCCTCCCACGAGATGATGAAAGCAATTGCATCAGACTAGCAGCCAAAAGGATCTGTGAAAATGATATCTGGTCATAAAATTAGTCACTAGCTATGCAGGGCGCAGGCTTAGGCTGCAAAATGACATACTGCAGTGATACTTGTGGTTTGCTTAGGACAAGACTTCTCTAAGATACACATCTACCACATACCTTTCTTGATCTGTGACAAGCAATAACCAGCCCTTGACAGTGATCATGTCCATTTCGAGCTTGCTGCACATCCAGTCAACAGTGGCACATTCATCAGGCATATATTTGGTAAAATATATTTTTGGCACCTCTGCCTGTTTACCTTTCCTTCTGCCTTCTGAACCACCCTGGACATTGTCAAGGTCATCAAATGCAAGCGGCCCAGATGTGTTGTAGTTGGAGACCTGAGACTCAGAATTTGTACGGGAGATAGTACTACCAGCAGTACTTTCATGAGGATAGGGATGGCCTGGGCGCCTGTGCGCTGATCATCCAGAAGGCACCACTCGCCATCTGTCGACAACTGACTGGTCCAGGTTGAATGGAATCAGATGCATGGACATAACTGCTGAGAGGAGAGGAATGGGAATACACTTGAAGGTGGACATTCAGTTAAATAATCACCAAAAACCATTATCACAGTTCCATGACTCTGACCACTGTGACAGAAGTTAGTAAGGACTATGCAAACATATTAGAATACATCCGTTAATCGGACTTTTCACGATCAAAGACTTCTGTATTACAATCCTCCTAATCAAGTCACAGTAGTGCACAATGATTGGTTACGGTTCATGATGATTTGTTGAAATACAATTTACCTGGCCACTGCAGGACACTTTCAGTGTGTCAGTTAAACGAAAAATTAAATAGTCACTGAAAGCATCATCATGGTGCCACAACTCTGACCATAGTCACTGTGACAGAAGTTAGTAAAGATCATGCAGATGTATTAGAACATGCCAATCGTACTTTTCACAATCAAGGGCCTCTGCATTATAATCCACCCAATCGAGTAGTGTACAGTAATTGATCGCAATTCGCAGTGATATGTTTGAAACCCAATTTGCCTGGCCACTGCAGGATGCTAATCAAATGAAATGAATAAGTCGCACTGTCACGTACTACTGATAGAAATATGATTAGTGTCTTCCATAACTTTGACGTCGATCAGGTCCATTAGACTCAATTTATCATGTGACACTATGATTTATCATGACTTGAATGAGGATACAAGCACCTTAAACAGTCAAGGTTTATCACATAGTGCAAAACATTCCGAGTCACTGGCAGGACATTGAATTACTGGGCATGGAAATCATATGTACTGCCACCATGACTGACTTGGGCGGGACTCCAGCCTGAGTATGAACAAGCTACACTGTCAGTAAACAGTCGCGGTAATAGTACAACACACTGGTATTGCAGGAAGGCTTCAAGGGGTGAATTCATACTAGTACCACCGGTCACGTAGTTTGAATGGCAGAGTTGAAATTACAAACTTACCATGACTCGGACTGGCCTGGATAAGACTCGGAAAACTTTGTTCATCAATTCTTTCTTCCACTGGCCTGGGCATGTGGCTATGATATGTTTGGAACATCCAAGTGAATGTAGTAGTATTAGTAGTAGTAATACCAAACATGCATCACCAAAACTGTCCAAATGTCACAACAGGTAACATTAGGTAATACTACCTTATCTGCAATTTTTCCCATGATCGAGTGTTATGGCCCCATATATGCGTGCGTCATATGAGATTGGCACATTATAAAGCCTCCCCACAATGGCATCATGGTAAATGCAGCTCAACCACAGTGGCAGCAAGATTATATTGTAGATGTAAGGTGATAGCGACATTATATGGTAGTTATAATTATAAGCTGGCAATGATATTACATGTAGCTCATTATAGTTTTGTACTGACACTGTTTAACATGATGAAATTTGTGGGTTGTAATGGGGAAAATGCACTTTCTGAAACTTTCATTTAGGACTAGAGATCTAGGCTCATTCTGCTCTACCCATATATACTAAGTATGGGCTACTATGCCAACACGTCCAAGGTATAAACACCAAATAAGTGCAAATGCACAACTTAAGCATTTTTGACCGCACTGTAAGAATTGTATATTCTCTACGCACGGACTAATGTGTGTGACTCATTGATTGCATCCGAGTCATGTGGACACAGTCCTCTCCTTTATCTCACCATCATTGTCATCATCAACAATGGTTCCAGGCCCTATCTTACACCAAACATTTCTCCTTCTTGTATTCTCAGTCACCTAATATACTTGTGTCTTGTATCTTTCTCTCTTCATTCACAATTCACTGTTGAACTCATGCCTAGCCTTACAGCACACATGCGCATATATGCATGGAACACTCATCTATAAGCCGTCCTTGACATGTCTGTCCTACAGGTATTGAGAATGACTCTAGGCCGTGTGATCCATCTTCTAAAGTATGGGTCAGTGTGTATGCCTCATTTGAGTTAGGTCCCATGGTCTGTCAGGGAGAACTCCCCCACACATTCGAGATCTCCATCAGAGAACTACTGGATCACAGTGAAAACTTAAAGACAGACGACAGACATCACTCGAGCCTCACTGACCAAACACGTCGCTGATCACTTAACGGTGTGTGAGTGTGTTAATCCTCTGTCAAGCTTGAGCCTCACTGACTGAAGACGTCGCTGATCCTTTTGACAGGATGTAAGTTTGTTGATCCTCTGTCGAGCTTCCATGTCATCGACAATGCACTCCCTCACATCACAATCCAAATGCCCATCTACAAAGAAAGCCTTGCTATAGTCCTGTAAGTCTCCAGCCTTTTCATCAACAACAATGGCCTCCATCTCCTCCCACCAGACCAGGCAAATAAGTGTATCAAGTACTATGCAAATCACGGGATTGGCTGGATCGCAAGACCACAACATGGACACCAAGGTTACTCATCCTCCCTCTAGCCATTCAATACTAACACAATACACACAGGCTTCATACATGCAGGCTGCTTCAAAAGACCTCCAACATGAACTACGCACTCAATGTCTCCCTCCGTCTTGAACACATCCTCGAGAAACTCCAATCATCCCACAACTCTCCTGATTACAATTCGTACAGTGCACGCCAAAACAAAAATATCAACTCAAACAGAGATAGCAACATATTCACGCCTCCCAACCCGCCCTTTCACCACACCAGCGTGTCAGTTCACCCTGTTTGTGTTGCTCTTGAGCAGTACATGACATCTCCCAATGCAGGCTGAACCCATTTCAACGGACCTTGGGTCTACACCCCATAAATTATACCTACCGCCCAGCAGGACTGCTTTTATGGACTTGCATATCTCGTTAGATTGTTTTGTACCATACCATGTATTTGTATAGCTCAATGACATGTGTTTATTATAGGATATAATTGTGATCTGATATTATAACTAAATATAAGACAATATGATGATACAGTGTTGTGGAATATGGCAGGTGGTCTGGAATGTGGCTGTGACCATATCACAAAAATCAATGTGGTATATTCACATATATTCTAGGCTTTGTTGTAGATACTAGTCACAGTCATTACAGTGTATTACAGTAGTTACATGTGTATATATGGTTATATATATGTTGAGGAGTTTTGCTGATGTGACCATAATGTAACCTAGTCATTAGTAAATTCACACATTCCTTAACTTCCTTTTTCATCGCTTATTTTCTCACATTAGAGCACACAAGAGCCACTAAAGGAGTTGGCTGCTATTGATGTGACTAATAGTACAACACCATAGTAAGTAAAGCACCTCAAAAAAGACCAGAAAAAACTGGAGGGACAACCACAATTAGACTTTCGAGGAGGTTCAAAGGGTGAGATAGATAATCCCAGTGAGGCCATAATGGCTTCAGAATTTTTCCATCACGACAGGTGGTCCACAACTATATTGTGAGCACCTGGAACAAAGAACACACAAAAGTTAATCTGAGCTGACAAAATAGCATCAGCCAACTCCATCAACAACCAGTTGTTGTTACAATAACATTTACTCCTATTTCATTTTTCTTTTCTTGTAACCATGCCGCCGACTCTAGACTCATCTAGACTCGGCTATTCTCTTATCAAGCGGGCTGTCCGCACTTCTCTTCTTTCTTGATTGTAACATAGATACTATCTTGCGCCGCATGGCGGTTTCACCTATCTTTGCTATCTTGATAGGTTGTACTCTTTTCCCTATCTCTGTTACCTTTCTTGTCGCGGCTACGCCGCTTCCTTTTACCTATATAAACCCCATGTACCATAGCTGTATTCCTTAACTTAATCTACTGGGTTTTCCCCTTGAAACCTGATCTACTAAGGTCTCCACCCTTAGTAGCCTGAACTCTGATTCTAAGACAGTCACTCACTGTCTTAGCCTGAAACCCTTGATTGCGGTAGAAGTGCTAAAACCACTCACCGCCTAGGCAGAAGTGCTAAAACCACTCGCCGCTGATCCTGCATAGAAGCCGCGGCTCGTGCAGTAGGAACCACCAGAAACCTTTCTTGTATTAGGAAGGCCGACGAACTGTTCGCCCGACAGGTCTATCTTGACCGGCAACAGCAGAACTATCCCAGTCGTAACAGTTGTACAGAGGTAAGGCTGCTAAAGAGTTGAACATGGATATGGTGTTGAGATTGTCTGTGAAGACTACATGGCATCCTAGATCCAAATGCTTTGCAGAATCTAATAGAGCACTTGTGACTGCTAAAGCCTTGAAACATAAAATAGTACTGATGGGAGCAGATCCTGGTAGGCATAATTGAAAACCAATATTGAGGCTAGGAAACTAATACACCAAACCAACTCCTGATGCATCAGTATAGACCTTCAATACATCATCTGGAAGGTGTGTAAAACTCCAAGAGACAGATTTGAAGAAGAACACACCCTCTGCTGAATGTAAATGTTTTACTACCCAACTAAGCTCCCTAACAACATCCCTATTGACCCAAATAAGCACCTTCAACACTAATTTGCCAGAGCCTGGGTTGAAGTAGAGGGTAGACATTAAGGGCCCAATTGAGCCATCCAGCTAGACATTGAAAATCCCTGAGAGATTGATGTGAACCACATTAAGGCAAAGTCAAAAAGTATATGATACATAGCCGAGACCATCTCACATATGCTCAAAGCAGGTGCAATCAAAATGGACAATGCATCTATGGATTTCCCCATCCTGTACAACTAATGACAATGATTGATGAATATGGACGTGTTCACTGGTGCAGATGCAGCGAGGAAGACATGTGGGTGATACCATACTGCAAACCACTCATAGACTTTGCAGACTGCCACTTTCATTTTGATGTTGTGTACACTGCAAAATTCTTCAACTATCTTTATAAATATCTCTACAAAGGACCAGACCATGCATGCTTCAATGTTCAAAATCTCGATTACAATGTGGTACAATGACCGGAACCTGTGAATGAGGTGAATGACTATCAGAAAGCTCGCTATCTCTCTGTGCCCGAAGCTGTGTGGTGGATCCTCGGATTTGAAAAGATACAGAGAGAGCCTTCTGTGCAATGCTTCCCTGTTCATTTGCCGGGAAAGAACACACCTCAATTTACACACGAAGGCAATCACTCAGATGCATCACTATTGGACCGGTACTTTCTCCATCCTCCTCACTTGGAGCATTTGCAGTATGAAGAATATTATGAGAAGTTCATACTATATCATTTCAGTGCTGGACAGCCTCTCAGATCACACAAGTGCCTTGAAAAATCAAAACCAGGTGTCATCCAAAAGAAAATTGCACAAAGGCATTACTTTGACAAGATTGCTTGCATAGACACAGTGCCTCTGTGAAGCGGCGAGGTTTTCTATCTTCATAGCCTTCTACTTCACAAATGCATGTCTTTCTTCCAAGACCTGCACACCATCAATGGACATCTCTTTCAGGCATTCCATGAGGCTGCATGTGACTTCAGATTGTTCAATAATCATGAAGAAGGCTTTCTGACACTAACAGGAAGCAGTCAATTCTCTGAGGACTCCATTGCAGCTTTGCTTTCTTTTTGCACAAAATATCTGGGGAGCAACGTCAATGACCATACATTCACTTTACAACAGATTGATGACATTTTATCACATAGTGGAAAGCATCTTAACAACTTTGGACTGTACCTGCTACAGAAATGGACTACAGAGCTATGTCATGATGTCTTCTTAGATAGATGATCTATAGATGAACACCTACAAAATCAAATATCTCCATGGTCAGTGATTCAGACAAATACCAATGACTGATAACATGGTCGTTCATGGGTGGCCTGTTAGTATATCCAAGCTACGGTCAGACAAAGGTACTCTACGATATCAGTCTAGAAACACTAGTCAACCCAGCGATATGGTGTTGACTAAAAGAAACAAAGAAACAGAAAAAAAAGAACCAAGACTAAGCACAATCACTGGTGCTAAACAGAAATAAGAACTAAAACTAGGCACAATTAATGGTGCTATATTCTAAACTTACTATGAAACAGTTGTGCGAAGCTGTATTGGTCACTCCCATAGCGCAAACAGGTAGGATCAAAGGTCAAGACTTGTCAAAAGCTTCTGTAGAACTCTTAGCCTAATATTGAATCTGCTGCCAAGGAACTCACGATGAGTATTAAACAGAATCAGAAATGGACATCCTTGGATTTCAATACCAAGTCCCCTATTCGATAGCTAAAGCCTATCTGACAAATAACAATCCTGGCTCAGTATACTACTCAGATGTGTGAGGTCAAGCAGACAATAATCAACTCCTGGAGTCTCCCCACTAAGCTACTCTGAGCCTTTAGCGGATGTAGAGACAACACAAATATTCAGAGATAAGGCTCGAATGTATTCACTACAATCAAAAGTATGTTAGTATCAGCAGCAAGAAACAAACACTCAGAATATATTTGCTAAAATCTATAACACGTTAGTGACATGACAATAAACGAGCACTCAGACTGTTAGCCTTCAATGGGTAGAGAGAGTGAAACAGATAGAGTAAAACAGATCCCAAGCTAAAGAAATCAATAGAGTGAAACAGAACCCAGACTAGTGAAAAAGAGATAAGGAAATAGATCCCAAACTAAAAGAAATAGATCCCAATCCTAGAGAAACAGCACTTTCCATTCACCTACTGATCTTTGGTGTACCAAGCAGGTACATTTTCCTCTTTTGTCTAATTTGTGTCTTCACAGCCACTTCCAGATCTATCATTAGAATGCGAGGGCATGGCCATAACATTTGTCAACCTTGCTTAAACTTCCACGTGGAGCACTCATGTTTCTGGGCAGTTGGCCAATGTATAAAATGGACTGGGGCTGAGGTAAGTTTCTGCCCATCATCTCGCATTTCCACTTATTCCTTGCGTGTTTTTCAGCCAACCTTCTCCCACCTTCTTCTTCATGTCGCACGCCAACCCGAAGGACAGCATGCCTTACACTGAGGGCAGTGTGTCTCATACTGTTGAGGGTAGTCACAGTGTGTCTGAGCCAGTCATTTAAAATGAGGATTGGCAGAACAACAACGACCTTCGGCTGTCTCCCGAAGCACTAGGATCTCAAGCACAGTCATCATTTGCAGAGGCTCAACAGAGACAGAAGATCTCCAAACTGGAGAGTAAACTCCTGGTCTTGGAGTTGGGGCACATAGTAAAAGAGAGGTATGTGCCGTCATTCTGTGTCCATTGTGTCTGCCTTGTTAACCGTTTTTCAGGCAGTCGAATTACTATTTGGCCCAAGGATAAGGCCTCAGGTATATTGTTGCTTTATTCGACAGTGTTGAGGATCTTGTCAATAAAAATGATAGAAGATATGATGACAACGGTGATGAGGATACTACTATCGAGTACTAAGCTTTTCTCCCTTGCCTTTGACGGTGAACCTCACTAGTTTTGTGTAGCCAAGATCATTTGCATACAGGATACTGTGTCCTAACGATGACCTTGCTGTGGTTCCTCAAGAACTCTTCAGAAATAGACCACAATGACTATATGTGTATGTTAAAGGCAGTGTACATGCATTTCCAATCACTGCTTGGCTTTATCATATTGAGTCCTTATTTAGCTCAGGCAGGGGGCTGACGGTGCTTGAGGCGATGATACAGCTAAGCTCAAAACTCTTGTTTCAGACTGGGTCAATCGTGAGCTCAAGCCGAATCCACCCATTGATCCTGACGACAAAAATTGCCACAGATTTACCAGTGATGCATGCAGGAGATTACTGTGTCCAGCTGAACTTGACTGGAACAGCCCAGTGTGTGTATCTTACTCAGTATCCTGCATGACACTAACTTATTCACTAGAGTCAAGGCAGGGATTTGAGATCAATTAGAGGGCTACATTGTGACAGACCTCTCTTTTCTGGCCTTTGTGTATGAAAAGTACACTGCCAACACAGACAATTTAGAAGAAGGCCTCTTTAAGGGCAAAATTTTACTACAGGTTCGTTTCACTCGAGTCATGGTCGCCCAGCAATATCTCACTGTTGTCTGCAGGGCTACAAAGCTATATTCACATCTCCATCCTCAACAAAAGACATTGAGGGCAATGGTGACGGCACAGATGTCATTGCCAACAACCAACATGCTAAACAGTCGTTCTGCAGAATAAAAGTCAAGAAATATGTTGCACAAATCATCAAGATGGATAAAGTCACACCTCGCTCGATCACATATGTTGCCTGTCAAGTAAGTCATTATGATAGCATGTTTCAATCCTTTGTAAATGACCATTACACTGGCAGATGTTACGACTTGGATGGTATCTGTTGACGACGCTCAAACAGAGCTTGTGTTGTCAACGGTCTGTGGACGTCCTTGGGCTAGCCCAAGGTTAGGGGTCGTACTTGGCGTGTCTTCGGCAGGTACGATTTGACGCCTATGTCCAAATCGGGTAGCTTATGTCACGCGGGTGCAAGACGATAAGCTATATCGGCCTAGGCTTATGACACCCGAAGGTTAATCGTAAGGATCGTCGTTAATTAGAAGGACAGAAGTCCGACTAGTTAACAGGGGCTTTGCTCGTCGACGAAGTCGATGAGTAAAGGTCGAGACTATAGGCTTATCCGCGATGAGCAGATAAGAAGATAGAATATAGACTGCTGGCGAGGCAGAAAGGATCACTCTGGTGAGAGTAGGAGGTCAAGAACCAAGTAGATTCAAGTTAGGGAATATGGTACATGGTAGCGAGTTTATATAGAGGACAGGGGACGTATTAGTGGATGATAACTCGTACTACCGGGAGAGGCAATCGATAAAGGGTAAGACCATAATAGGAAGGCACGTTCGATCTAGGTAGAACGTGCTGGATAAGAAAGTGAGTCAAAGATCAGAATGAGAAGTGAAACACGCAGAGGCACGATCGTGCAACTGCGGATCTAAGTATAAGTTGCATGTGCGACTGCGCACCGAGTCAGAGATCAAGAAAGGAAAATAGGGCAAAGGGGATGCGTCATGCATCGTGTCATAGGTTACCGTCCAGACGGTAAGGGCAAGGGGACTGTCCGCAGGATCAGTCAGGTGGTGAAACTGGAGCATGGGTATGCTTCGTCAGCGAAAGGATCCGGCCAAATGTACTGGCTTTGCTGAAGCGACAGGTAGAGGGCGAAAGGGAATGCGAGAATGACGAGGATGACAAGGGTAAGGTCGGGGTAAGGGTATGATGCGAGGGCTGATACGAGGAGGATCAGGAGAAAAATAGTAGGGGCCCAAGCGTCTAGATGTTCTTGTAACAGCAGATATGATTTGCACTTTCTTCAGTTACCTCTTGGTGGTCCATTGACAATGACTTTGACTATATTCAATTCTGGTGGTCCATTGTGGACCTCTTCGAGAAGCCCCCTGGTCGAGAAGCACAATTTAGAGTCAATAAACTCCTTGAGTGGTGGACAAGGTGCGGTATTTACAGTAATTCTAAATAATCCAGACTAATGATATGTTGTTTAGGAAGGTTTTTGGAAGGAGTCGCCACAAGGATCTTAGCAACATGGCAAAGGCCAGCATGTCCATCAATGCCCTCGCAAGTCAGAGGGCACAGATCGATGATGCCGCTTTCGATTCAAACTAGATATATATATTGTATCCTACAATGTCGTTTCTAAGCTACCTTACTTTTGTACTTTGGCGTCAATAACATGACTTGTCATACTTCATATTTGCCTGAATGAATTACCAATATTGCACTACTACCATGATCCAGCAATAACAGAAAATTTATAGATCTCGTTGACAAATATGGATGATCCCCAGGAAACACTTCAACTGATATTTGCTGGATCCGCCTACATGTTTTAGACTGGGTGAATGAGTGGAATATCAAGTGACCACAGTGTTCTGTGTCTTATAGTAGTCCTTGTGGCAAACACTACCTAGAAAATATGGACTCAAAAGACACAAATGACTGATGAAACATGTTGTATTTGATGTCCACTGATCTCGTATCTAACCATGTGACAGATTGATGTGTTGTCGGCTTGGTGAGCATATTTGGCTTACTGCAACAAGGAATATCTTTTTCACATGCTTTCTTAACTGATTTACATTGGAACATTCTTGTACATCTGAAGAACTGATGTTAAGAATTGAAGCGAGACATAGATTTATGTTCAATCGCTCAGGGAAACACATCCTCACCATCTGCAAGTAACCAGCCTTCGTTATCCCATGAAAATTGACATCCTATCGAGAGAAGTCAGACATTTCAGAAGATGCTGTCGAAGTCTGGAATAGGTCATGAAACTTACTAAGTCTCCATTGGGAGAACAAATCCTCATCCTCTGCAAGTTACTAACCTTCACTCTTAGCTTTGGGACTGTGGAACTCCCTCCCAATGTCAGGCATCTCACAAGAGGGTGCTAAGGTTTGATGCAGGGTGTGAAACTTATGGTCACCCCCTCAGGAGATCATGTCCTCATCCTCTGCGAGTCACTGACCTTTGCTCTGGGCTTCAGGACCATGGAACTCCCTTCCAATGTCACACATCTCACAAGAGGGTGCTGAGGCTCAATGCAGGTTGCAAAATGTAAGGTCGCCCCCTCAGGAGATCATGTCTTCATCCTTCACAAGTTACTGACCTTCGCTCTCAGACTCGGGATCATGGATTTCCCTTCCGATGTCACACATCTCACAAGAGGGTGCTAAGGTTTGATGCAGGTCACGAACCTTATAGTCACCCCCCAGGAGATCATGTCCTCATCCTCTGCAAGTTACTAACCTTCGCTCTGAGCTTCGGGACTGTGGAACTCCCTTCCAATGTCACACATCTCACAAGAGGGTGCTGAGGCTCAATGCAGGTCGCAAAACGTAAGGTCACCCCTCTCAGGAGGTCATGTCTTTATCCTTCACAAGTTACTGACCTTCATGTGCAAACTGTGGGGCTCTGTGATTTACTGTCACAAGACCCGAAGTTTGTGACCTCTGTGAGAAAATTGGACTTTACTGATGTGGATATGTAAGATGAAGGTGTGTGGTGAGTATCGTGATTGCGTCTGGAAGTTTGTCTTGAGAAGGTTGAGCTGAATCACCCAGTCGCAGGGTATGCATTCCATAACTTCAACACCAGTCGAGTAATATAATGATAGAGTCAATATCAGGATGGGCGGGATTCATCTGCAGGTTCTGCAGGAGTGCTAACAGTGACTGCAAACAGCTTGTTCATCCAATCATGCAAGGAGCAGTGAATAACCCCAATATCGATGGTTTCCTTTTCCTTCCCTTTGCCAGACTGCACCAGGTAATGATCATGTATGATTTCGACTAGAGAATCCAAAAGGGTGACAAAAGAGTCTATGTTGGTCAACTCGACGCTGCAGGGTGGGACAATGAAACTTTATAGATAAGTAGCTAGGCCCACTCACCGTCAATAGTAGGTTGGGATAGTGTCATAGATGTCCCATGTCATGATGATAATTTGACACAACTGACGCCCGTACTCACCTAGTCTCACTTTACAAATGCAACCAAAAATGTCTCTCAAGCTCTGCATGCCCTTGCTCACTGCAAGGGTGTGACAACTGAAGCGATTGATTACTTCTATGGAATCATCCACATCTACGTTGAATGCGGATAAAAAACATGTGCAAAGAATGAAGGCCCAGCAGCAGGCATTGAAAGTAGTTGGGGCATAAGCCATTTCCAATCCTTGAACATGGGTTAAACAGCAAAAGTAAACCTATCATTCACACTCACCGCATCATTTTTGCAACCAAGAAAAGACGTGACAACTTCGACATATCATGCAACAGGGTGCCTCACAATACACCCAATATATCTCTCGAGTTCGCCTCTACGAGCCTTGAAAAAATCAGCACTGAACCACCCAGCATACTGTTTCTCAGGAAGTGGTGGGAGCGCAATACCAGGAAGACGTCTAGTTGAAGTGTGTAACATGATGAAGTGAGAGAACCACCGTTGAACTGTTATGCGGGTAGGAGAGATCGGTGGGATGTATGGATCATATGATTCATCTGTAGCCGAAGAAAACAGTGAAGTAACACTATAGATGGTATATGCTCCAGAAAGGCCCGACGTGTGCTTCAAAGGTGAGTGAACCAAGACCCAAAACTTTGGAACTTTAGATTACCATGCAGGGCCAGTGTCTGCTTCCCCCAGCCCAAGTCTACTGAGCCTAGTATTATCATTGTTGATGGAGTATTCCGTCGAAATCTGAGCTTGGTGTACATGTAAATAGAGAAATCCCCATGATCAGCTATAGAAAGATGTAAGGATTCCATATCCTCTACACCCAAACTAAGGCTTCATAATAAGGTTCAAGGACTTACGTCCCGACATCCGTGTGACTTACTAATGCAAAGAAGCATCACACTTTGCGTCCGAGTCATGCGGACACATTCTCTTTCCTTACCTTCACTTTCTCGTTATGCTCAACAACGAGCTCAGTCTTTCACCATCATTCAGAACTATACCCTGGACTTATCACCAAACTCTCTTTCGTCATTCTCTCTTAGTTTCATTCCTTCGCCCCAAAAGCAGTCAAATACCCAACGGTTCTCATCATTCCTGTGCATGGCGAGCTCCCTATTACTACCCTCATTCAAAAATTAACATACTCTCACTCATTTCCATTACTCCTACCCTGTCAGGCTCAGCGCCACCATTCTCCGTCTCACTGAACCTTCATGTTCGTAATAATAAAGGACCCTTACTCTTTTGTAGATAAAATACGGCTTTGTAGACTCATTTTGAACATTGGTTGATTTCCCCACTATGAACTCACGTCAGATCCTAAGAACAGTCCTATCGCCTTGAGCCACACAATTCCCTTATTGGACTCAATGTCAGCCTTATAAAGAAGTCTGCTACTTGTAACAGTGTCACCCAGCCGGTTAGGTGTCATCATGACTTAGCATTCTCACTCTTGCCTTAACCATTATTACTCTCATTTGATCCCTGTACTACAGTTGCTGCCCATTGCCCTTCGGCCAAGGGGGCAGCTACCCATATTCATCCCCTTAACCCTTCTGGAATACTAGCAGACTTTGAAACTGTTATTACCTTAGGAACACTTCTTCTTGTGTCGCTGACCTCGAGCCTCACACACTAAAGTGTCATCGCCACACTACTATTTCCCACAGTTTTGAACTTAGTAATAATATTAGAAAAACAACTGCATCACCAAAATTGCTCATCCTATACCTAACTATATATACACCTGTAATGGCTGTGACACACTGTGTGGACTGTGACGAATATCTACAACCGGGTGTCAGATATATGATAATACAAGCAATCAATTTTTGTGATATAGTTAGAGCAATGTTCCAGAATTGTGATATAGTAAGAGGAATGTTCCAGACCTGTGATATAGTTAGAGGAATGTTTCAGAGTTGTGATATATGCGAAGACATGTAATATGGTAACAATATAATGTAGTATAAATGTGGTAACCGGGTACTGATCGATTGGACATGAGTATGATGAAAAAACGAACATATGAGTGACATCATTCTAGTGCAGCAGAGTGAAAAAGATACATGTGAGCAGTTGCGAGTCCATACGAATATCCTAACTACAAAATTGTTCTGACCTGCCTTGAATAATTATTTCTTGAATTTGCGCTTAGTTGGGGCATTCCTGGGATTTGTAGCACAGCCTTTTCGTGTGCGTTTGGCCGGCTGAGGGACGTCTTGCTCTTCTTCTGTCAAAGGATCATCATCAAACAAATTGTCAATGGACGAGGTGATGGGTGCCGGTGGAGCAGGGGTAGGTGAGCGCACAGGTGGAGCAGGGGTAGGTGAGCGTGCAGGTTCCACTAAGTCATTCGCAGGAATGTCTTTGATGGATGCTTGAGGAGATGAGGGAGGTAATGGCGATTGACGCGGTTCCTGATTGAGTGTGGAGGACTGGGATGCCCGTGTGGCGCGCGCAGCGAGCTGCCGTTCCATTGCCACCATGTCATCGTCATCCAAGCACTCAGCCCCTCCAGAATAAGTAGGCTTGACACCATTTTCATTGCTGAATAATTTCCTGTATGCAAATATACATTAGATAGCAGAATGAAATAGTTAAGAACTCACTCGTTAAAATACGCAAGCAGGGAGTCGACCCACTCCCCATCTCTCCTCTCACGAATGAGGCGCGTGATCCTGTAATAAAAGTCACTGTAATGAAAAAGGCCATCCTTGTCCTTCCATTTGTCGAGGGAGCTAATGCCAAAGTGTGCCTAGGAAGTAGAGAATAAGTAAGAGAATGAAAGGAAAGCAAAAATGAACCTGGACAGCCGCATATGCAATGTGCTCAGCTTCAACTGTCGACATGCCGTGGATCTTTGCATTGCAGGGGTGTGTTCCATTGGAAACACCAGCTGAGAGAGCAGATGAAGGAGATGTAAAGATGTGTTTGGCAACCTGAGTGGCATATCAGCGGCGCATATCATTAACACAGCCAAAAAAAAATATGTACACGTGACAAAAGATACCCCCTGAAAAGTCCCTCGATGATATCGTCAGGGTCAAAGTCCTTACCTGGACTATCCCCCGGATACAGATAAGCAGGCCACAAGGCTGCGGTCACCTTCAGCGACCTGGCTTGGATTCTCTTCCTCACCCTGTAATGTAATTAGTACTACCAAGTTTGATAAAAAAAAACTTACTCGGTCGAATCCTTGTTATATTCAATCAAGAATTGAGCAGGGCAGAGCATTGGGTCAAGCTGCAGGTGATTGAACCCCATCTTGGAGTGAGACTTGCTGTCGTCACCAATTGGAGGGTTGACGAGGGCCTTGTCTGGGACTGGAGCAGCATATGTGCCCATGCGGCTCTTGAGGCGACTGGCATCTTCTGACCGGGTGTGATTGATCATATGCTGCATCTGCAAATAGTGAGTTGCAATCAAGATAGGTGTATAGAAACTTAAATACCTCACTGATGATATATGCGAGTTTGTCGTGTTTTTTCTTCTTGCCGATCAAATTTCCAAGATAAGGAGCGTGATCCGTGACATATTCGAACGTCCGCTTGTAGTGTGCATGTGTGTGATCATCACTAAAAATCAAATTAATGTGCATGTATGCGCATAAACGAAAATGAACAGACTTACATGTTATTGAGGATGTTTGTATGGGCAATCTTGGCCTGTGCGTCTGTCAGATCTCCGTCCTCGATCGCTTCATCTTGCTCTAGAAGCAAGCACACCTGGATGACCTGCTTAAGGTCGCAGAACATATCCAGACCGTGTGTGATCCAACGTGCAATGTGTATGCACTGGTCCCGCGGTGTGAGTTCTTTGTGACGTGATCTTCTAGAACATCATCAAGATCAGGATATGTGTGAAAATGAAATGCCTCACCTTTTTGTCTTTTCAGCCTTCTTTTTGGCTCTAACAGGGCTATGTATCCTATATGCGTGCAGGTAAGCTCTGTTTTGAAGACAACAGATATCATTTAAATGACTCACCTGGCCTTTTTGGACCTGGACCTGCCCTTATCACACATGTTAGATGTGTTTAACGCGTCTCTTCCACGTTTCTTGGATATCCGGGGCGGTGGTGTACTTGGGGGAGTACTTACATCTGATCCAGAAGAATCCGTAGAAGTACCAATAGAATCAGATGAAAAAGTAGAATGAGAGCGATCGCGACGCGCCATAGTGGTGGGAGGGAAAGATGAGATACATACGGCGATACTAGGAAATAGTCCTTATTTGGTTATTTTAATATCATAATATCAAATATCCCCTGGATATCTACGTATCCAGAGTTAAAACAATGGGAGAACGTTGGGAGAACGTGATACAATTGAGCAAGAATTACAAATGATATCTACAAGTACAGCACACGGTATAGTACAGGAAAAAAAAAACAAGGCCACTGGATCATCAATCTTCATCTACAGGGATATTATCCTGATCTTCCAGTGCCTCGGGGCTTTTCGTGACGTAGTAACTCCATGGCACAGTGGGATTCTTGGGATCTGGATCAGGGTTACCAGCGCGCCTGACAAGCAGGTTGCAAGGGGATGTGGCTATTGGCCTTGAGAAAGATCAGTCAAAATTTCTATTGAGAGCAGGAGTTGCGACTTACACAAACTCTGGTTCGATAACAGGATCTTCGTCTTCAACCTTAACCTCATCAATTCCGATTTCTGCATCTTCAGTCTTCATCTCCGTGTTGTCCCTGTTACCGCTGTTATCCTCTTCTTCGGATTCGGATTCGGATTCCGTCTCCGAGTCATCTGAGGCTGAGTCTTGATTATCGGCCTGTTCGCGGATGTGAAAAACTATTTTCTGTTATAAGTTAGATCGGTTTTTAGACGAGAAAAAAATAAATACCTTAGTGCCAGGAGAATCCAAGTTAAGATTGAAGCAGTAGGTATTATTGACGGATATTGAGTTTTGGATGTTGATGAATACAACATCCCTGAAGACGTTCAGGACAGAGGTCCAGGTGTCGTTGGCAGTGACGTTAGCCATTTGATATTAATATGAGTACTTGATGATAAAGTTAGTGTTCGAGGATTTCATGTGACCGCAAGATTCCAGCAGAGTTTGAATCTGACATCAACCAAACTGACTCGATCATGATCTCACCTTACTTTCAATCATATGACCTTACTATTGGTTATATGCCCTTACTTTCGATCACATGCTCATTCCAGGCGCATTTGGTGAGTCCAACAATGGTCTGCTCCCTCTGTCTTCCTTCCATTACCGTACTAACCAGTCTGCACATCAGCATACTGCTCACTCTGAGGAGATTCTCTGCGAGGCACGCGGTGCAGCCGCCGGTGCTACGTTTGCTGTGAGCGATCCAAGGCCAAGATCAGGTATGTTTCATCCTAAAATGACTGACACTAATCATTGTTATCATCACCAGACTTAAGCACGAAGGAGAGGCATTCAACCTACTCCCAATTTCCTCATCCGCGCTGTTGATTGGTGAATCCACATCACCCATTGTACCTCACCGATTTTTTATCTAGTTAATTGTATGCTTGTTTACATTTCCTATCTAGCTTAACACTTGACTCTCACTTTCAGTTGTTAAATTAATGTATATTCAAAGTAGACTGCTGCACCAATTCAATGGACTGTTTAAATATGCTTGTGGGGTGATGAATTGCTTGTGAGTTCTGCAACCAGTGAAGATGTGTCCCTTTCCTGTTTCTCTATACTTTGTCCATGGTCAATGACATTCGCTGCTTAGCTTGCAGTGCAACATTTGGTTCACGCAAGCAGCTTGCAGTGCATACAAGTCAATGTGCTCTTAACATTATCTTTACTGATCAAATATTTGACCGCAAGCGCAAATTAGACAAGAAGAAAAGGAGGCAAGACAAGAGGGTCCGCTGTGATAAGTCCCCTGAGCGCATTCCTGGTGATGTTTATATCCCAGAGCAGCCAGGGGTTCAAGACCCAACATTCACCAATAATGAAGATCCTTATATTGATGTATGTAAAATTTTCTATAGCTGTATTGTCCTTGTTACATGTTTCCTAGGTTGAAATGGCTCGCCCTCCATCTCCCTCACCTCCTCCCATTAACCCCGTCGTCTCTCAGTGCTCTGGACGGAAAATCCGAATGCCTGCTCGCTTTGCAGACTTCCTACCAGGGAGCGCAACTCACCTTGCCCACATGCCACCCACTGCTCGTCAGCAACGCAGACATGATGTCATCGCAGATCAACACGTGGATCAAAACTCTATGCCTCGTTCCCCTTCCCCCGAAACATCAGAGCATGAGGACACACCCCCGGTCCTTATTCCTTTTCAAATGGAAGCGGATGACGCAGGGCTCTATCGCATCTACATTACCCGGCCCAGCAACATCCCCAACAACGATACCCTTGAGGCTGTAACTGATGCTCCAACACTTGCCAGGGACGATCAGATTCCTTGATCGAGTCGAATCACAGAAGGCCTGTCGTCTAAAGGCACCGAAGGACTCTATGAAGTGTTCTCGAATCCTACCTCTGGCCTCCTCATGGCATACCAGTATTCTGGAACCGGCCAGCAATCTGTTGCTGAGTTGCAGCGACTCACAACTTTTGTTGGTGATCTGCTTTTCAGACATGCTGACGCACTTTCATTTTCCCATACACAGGAAGCAAAGAACATTGATGCCTATTTACAGGACAAAGCCAATCCATTTCGCGAGGAATATGGCTGGAACCGATTGTCTGTCAAGATCAGATTACCAAACGAAGGGACAAAGTGGCCGTCAGAGACCGACGCCCCAGAACTCGAGATCCCTGGAGTATATCACCAATTGATCATCGATATCATCGAGTCTGTTTTCACGGATGACACCTCAATATCATTCAACATGATTCCTTACTGCAAATACTGGCAATGCTCTCCTGATCGCACCATTGAAGTCTTCTCAGAAGTGTACTCCAGCCCTGAGATGTTGGAGATGTATGATGAAATTAATGCTTTGCCTCGCGAAACAGGTGACGAATACGAGCGCTCAATTGTGTCGCTGATGTTCTGGTCTGATGCAACACACTTGGCAAATTTTGGCAATGCTTCCCTGTGGCCATTCTACCTTTACTTCAGAAATCAATTGAAGTATGTTCGAGGGAAGCCAACCGCTTCTGTGTGTCACCATGTGGCTTATATTCCTACAGTGAGTTTCTTATATTTGATCATATCTAAGTATAGCTAAAATCAATTCATTCATTAGTTGCCGGATGATCTACAAGACCAATACATGAAGATCTTCAGCAAGCCATCTAGTAGCGAGGTATATACTCATTGTAAACGTGAGCTGATGCAAGCAATATGGGCTCTACTGCTCAACAATAAGTTTATGCACGCCTATGTGCATGGTATTGTCATTAAATGCAGTGATGGCATCACTCATCGAATCTTCCCCCACTTCTTTACTTATTCAGCCGATTATCCGGAGAAGTGAGTCCGTCATTTCATTTTATCACAGCATGTGCTAATAATTTAGAGTTATTCTGTCAGGCATCAAGAACCTTGGGCAATGCCCTTGTCTGCGTTGTCTCACAAAGAAGACCGAGGTTCATTTGATGGGAACAAAATGCAATATGAAGCGACAGATCAGACGTATGCAGAAGGATGATTGGAGACACCATCGAGAAGTTGAAGACGTGCGGAAGCTAATTTTTCAATTGGGCATACCAGTTGATGGTTCACGTGTCAAGAATATACTCAATGACGAATTGTTGGTGCCGACTCGGGTAAGTTTTCATTATTATTTCAATCTCTACCAACTAATAATATCTAAACGTAGAACTCATTTTCTGAGAAGCTATGTCCTCACGGATTCAACCGCTTCTGGATGTTCGTGGTGGATGAGCTTCACAAATTTGAACTGGGTGCATGGAAAGCAATATTGACCCATCTATTTCGCATTTTGCACGCAGCTGGAGGACATGCCATCCAGAAGTTGAATGAGAGGTACGTGTTTGTAACATATTATTGCTGATCTACTAATACCTATTCTTAGATATTGAGATACACCAAGCTTTGGTAGAGGAACGATCCGTAAATTCAATACAAATGCTTCTGCAATGAAACACCTTGGTGCATGAAATTTTGAAGATCTGCTTCAGGTAAGATCGGTTCACACTTTCCCATTATGTTTTTTAATGATCAATAGTGTGCAATCTCTGTTTTTGAGGATTTACTTCCTAAAAATCACAATACCATGGTTCTGGACCTCCTATTCGACTTGGCAACTTGGCACGGGTTCGCAAAATTATGTCTGCATACTGAGGACACCTTACATTTTTTCGACACTGCAACAGCTGTTCTCGGTCAAATGATATGTAAATTTAATTGAACTACTTGTGCACACTACTATACTACAGAATTGCCTCATGAGTATGCTGCACATGGATGACGGAAATCAAAATTGGCTTCGCAGAATCTCAACTCGAATCTGACAAGCCAAGTCAATGAGGTTGTGTCTGGTCCGAAGCGCAAAAGACTCAACCTCAACACCTACAAATATCACGCCCTCAGAGATTACCCTGACACAATCCGACAATTTGGTACCACAGATAGCTTCAGCACACAACCGGTAAGTTTTAATTTGATCATACATATAGAATATTGATGTCATTCTAATTTTTAGGGTGAACTGCAGCACTGGCATGTGAAACACTGGTATCTGAAAATGCCGAAAGGCAAGAAGAACACGGTCTCAAGCATGACGCGGATTGAGACCAGGGAATGACTGCTGGGGAAGATTGTGAAGGCACAATTGGCATTGATTGATCCCGGATCACAATGCCCTCAACGCATACGCACATCACCAGCCGACCACTACCACATCTCCAAATATGTGAGGACCTCGCATGATCTCACCGAGTGGCTCGGAGAACTTACAGATGATTTAGCAGTAATGGTACGTGATTTTAATATTCTAGAGCTATCAAGTTTTTGACCTGAGGAGTAGGATCTTATTCCATGACTTCAAGATCATCTTTTAGCTCGAATTCGCAGGATTGAATACACTGGTGATGAATTTCAATTCACTGACAAGGACCGCTCGAAAATATCGATTGCTAACAACAAGATTCATGAGCACAGAACTCTCCATGTCAACTACACTACCTACGACCTACGATGAGAACAAGACTTACTCAATTCACATACCCGTGCCGACATCATGGTTCTCTCGCACGAGACTGATGAGGCACAACATCCTTATTGGTATGCATGGATAATCCGGATTTTTCATGTCGATGTCTGGAACTATGACGACATTTCAATGACAAAACCACGCCAAATGAATTTATTATTTGTGCGCTGGTTCGGCCGTGATGTCAGTTACAAATCTGGTTTCTCGGCAAAGCGGCTACCGCGTATTGGTTTTCTCAGAGGCGAGGATCCTTGTGCCTTTGGTTTCGTAGATCTTGACATTGTTATCCGGGCTATTCACCTTATTCCGGCATTTGAGCATGGTCAAACTGACCAGCTTCTCGCGGATTCATTTGTGCGACGTGAGGCAGATCTAGATAAAGATTGGCTTTATTTTTATATAAACATGTAAGTCTACAGTACCGATCTACTGGCTAATTAACCTATACTTCTATTTCTAGATTTGCAAATAGAGATATGTTTATGCATTACTGGGGGGGAGGTATCGGCCATAAAATATCTCACGGGTGGGATGAATTTTTGCAGGCTGATGGGGCTGAGGTTGGTGTTGTAGGAGAGGCAGAGGGTGGAGATATGGAGTTAGACGATGAAGAGGATGAAGGAGAGGATGACAAAGAGGATGACAAAGAGGATGACAAAGGGGATGACAAAGAGGATGACAAAGAGGAGGAGGATGAAGAGGACCGGGTAGAAGCAGATGAGGGAGAAGAGTTGGATGATGACATTCTGGCAGAGGAGGGATATGGTGCTCTGTAGTATCATGTCGTGTATGATTCTTTGTTCCATTTTTGATCGACCGATCCGCTTCATTGATACGTCGTTGAATTCTGAGTGCAAGCATTCCTGCCCTAATATTATTTGATATCATCATAAGCACATATAACATTGTTTCTAGCTTATAAATACTATATACTGATGCTACCACCTTATATCTACAATATAATAAAGCTGTCAACGTCATTGAACACATTTATCTTGATGTCATTGTGAGGCAGCTTTATAACATGCCAATCTTGTATGACGCACGCACGCATGGAGCCATAACTCTCGATCGTGTGAAAAAAACCAGATACGGTTGTGTTACCTAATGTCAATGGTTGTGACATTTGAGCAACGTGCCACCCAAACCAAGAAGGATGCGACCCCAGGCAGCTGCAGATGTGAGCCTTCGGAGACAAAGAAAAAGAGGACGGGAGGACGCCGGAGCTGCACTTGATGTTGTAGACGGAAAAATGGGACATTTTTGAGCTGCCGACAAGCTCGAGCCACCACTGGGTGAGGTGGGGATCTGGATTAGTGACTAAGGTGAGCACAAGCGCAACAATGCAGGAAGATGCTGAACTGACTGCAAATTTCCCACATCCTGACCGTCAATCTACCATCTGGACGGTGCTGAGGTTTTGGTGAGTGCATGTCTTTCTCTGCGCGAAAAATCTGACCATCATGCTGATGGACTGCAAATTGACAGTCCTCGGCTTTGCAGTCATGGCGGCTGCACCGCCGCATAGCCACCCAATTTATAATATAGGTAAGTACTCGCCCTACCACATTGTTCTCTCTTCCTCCTCTTCTCCTCACCGTCACATCCACCGTCCACAGTACACAATCTTCTCTCTTGGACGTACAATGGCTGCAGCTCGTTCTTCTCCGGCACCACAATGGGCATCAATCATCTATGGGAGGTATGTACTATTATGTGGCCCGCTTTTCATGTGACAGAGACCTCATGCACTTGCTTCACAGGTGCTTGACCCTGCTGCGACGACGGTACCCATTGTGTCCCTCGCCCTCTCAGATCGATTTGCAGGACCTGCCCCTCACCTGCCCTATGTTGTGGGCATTGATTCAAGGTATGTGATCACAATGTCGGGTGTCTGTTCAGATGCTAAAAATTATGAGTGCAGTGGATGGTTCGAACAGTGCCAACAAGGAAAATGGCAATGCGCGCATTCTCAAACTGGAATGAACCCTGCGCTCCGCACCTTTTTATTTCACCTGGCTCAGCTTGCACGCTTCCCGGTGCAACTCATCTTCTGTTATGATGGCGGCCAGCGGCCAGAGGTCAAAAGAGGGTGCTGCATGTCTACAAGAGACCATTGGATGGTCAAGCCCACGCAACGCATCCTGAATGCCTTCAACACACAATGGATCACTGTGTGTCGTATTTCTTTTCCTCTGTTCTCGCTGTCAATGTCATTTTCTGCTGTCTTAGGCTGTGGGTGAAGCTGAAGCACAGCTAGCATTGATGAACAATGCTGGAATTATCAATGCTGTCATGACAGATGACAGTGATGTCTTCGTCTTCGGAGCTAAGACAGTCATTCGGAAGTGAGTGTTTCTTTTTTTTTTTGTGTGTGTGTGGGCAGTTTTTAAGCAGGGATTTTTTTCTTAGTTCAACATTCTCATCCGATGCAACCGTCAAGGTGTACACCACAAGCACTATTCAGGAGCACGTAGAACCCTGCCTTGTCAGTGATGCCTTTGTGACAATGGCTGTTACGACTTGGATGGTATCTGTTGGCGACGCTCAAACAGAGCTTGTGTTGTCAACGGTTGAGGACGTCCTTGGGCTAGCCCAAGGTTAGGGGTCGTACTTGGCAGGTCTTCGGCAAGTACGATTTGACGCCTATGTCCAAATCGGGTAGCTTATGTCACGCGGGTGCGAGACGATAAGCTATATCGGCCTAGGCTTACGACACCTGAAGGTTAATCGTAAGGATCATCGTTAATTAGAAGGACAGAAGTCCAACTAGTTAACAGGGGCTTTGCTTGTCGACGAAGTCAATGAGCAAAGGTCGAGACTATAGGCTTATCCGCGATGAGCAGATAAGAAGATAGAATATAGACTGCTGGCGAGGCAGAAAGGATCACTCTGGTGAGAGTAGGAGGTCAAGAACCAAGTAGATTCAAGTTAGGGAATATGGTACATGGTAGCGAGTTTATATAGAGGACAGGAAACATATTAGTGGATGATAACTCGTACTGCCAGGAGAGGCAATCGATAAAGGGTAAGACCATAACAGGAAGGCACGTTCGGTCGAGGTAGAACGTGCTAGATAAGAAGGTGAGTCAAAGATCGAAATAAGAAGTGAAACGCGCAGGGGCACGATCGTGCAGCTGCGGATCTAAGTATAAGTTGCATGTGCGACTGCGCACCGAGTCAGAGATCAGAAAAGGGGAAAGGGCAAAGGGGATGCGTCGTGCATCAGATCATAGGTTACCGTCCGGACGGTAATGGCAAATAGACTGTCCACAGGATCAGTCAGGTGGTGGAACGGAGCAGGGGTATGCTTCGTCAGCGAAAGGATCCGGCCAGATGTACTGGCTTTGCTGTAGCGATAGGTAGAGAGCGAAAGGGAATGCGAGGATGACAAGGATGACCAAGGTTAGGTCGGGGTAAGGGTATGACGCGAGGGCTGATACGAGGAGGATCAGGAGAAAAATGGTAGGGGCCCAGGCGTCTAGATGTTCTTGTAACAATGGCTATCTGCTGTGGTGGCGACTATGATAAGGCAGGTTAACTATCCTACAGATGACTTTTATTGCTAACATCTTCATCAGATTGGTCTTGCTGGCTGTGGCCCTGAGACTGCCCTTCATCTTGTTCACTGCATGAACACCAGTATATTGGCGCATGACGGTATCCCACTAGATGAAGCCCTGAAACAGTGGCGGGATGCTGCTCGGTATCACCTTACAGATGATCCCACAGGCAAACTTGGCTGAGCTCATCCTGCACTGGCCCGCTCGCTTGCTGAGTCATTTCCTGATCCCAATGTCATCAATCTGTATGCGCAACCTGCTGTCACCCCACTTGCCGAGTTGCCTGCCCTGCCTGATCTTGCTCCACTGGCCTTGGTCATCCAACAACTCCTGGGCTGGGAGCCAAAAAAACTTGTCAGCATGTTTCATTCCACCATCTGGCCTGCTGTTGTCTTACATGAAATGCTCGAGGACCTTGCCAACAAGTGACAAGGTGTGTTAGTTCCCTACTCATTCTATTCTATGTTACTCTGATGCTGTGTACAGAATGATCTTGCCCCTTGCTGCATGAGGGCTGTGTTTCAATGCCATGCTAGGCGCCCTAAGAAAGTGCTTGCAGGGATTGTGGGACATGATAACAACATACCTGTCTGTGATTTGGAGCAAGCCACACTCCAGCTGCTTGATGGGCTGACTGGAGACTCTACTAGCCAAGATAACGAGACATCACGAAGCAGCAAGTACATTCGGGTGTGGCTCACGGACCAGATATATGACTGCTGGGTGCAAACAATGGTCCCACTGCCTGCAGGGCCTTCTAATTCTTGTGCAAAAGATTCCAACTAACCTAGTATCATAATGTAATTGTATCTCATCATTTCTTCTGTGAATCTTTTCTTTAGTCTGCTCTCACACTTGTACTGTTTTATATTTATATACTATCTCACATTTTAGCATTTGTCTTTTCAGTCGCCACATGCCTTCACGCACACTACTTGCACCTATAGACGTTGATCATCCACCTCATCCTCGTGACTACTCTAGTTCCTCGCATGAGGGGCCAAGTTGTGGGCCAACTGGTCACCAAACCCTTCTCCTTCATCACCCTATTCCCCAGCAGCAGGTGCAAACGGAAGAGCTCCATAATTCTGCCGTTCATGGTCCTGGTCAATACAATGACCACTTCCCTGGCTGTCTGCTCAGGGTCCCTTCGACCATCCACTTCGCCACCACCATCACACAATTTACGTGTCCGATCTCCAGGTCCTGGGTACCCCAACTATCCTCCATCAAATAGGCAACCTGTGGGACCTGCCCAGCCCAGCCTGTCACAATGATCGCCGCCTAATTACCCTCGTGAAGCTCCTCGCCTAGAGCATGATACGGCATGGGATCGTCGCGGGCCACCTCCTGAACATCATCATGAATGGGAGCGTGAACGAGAGCATCGAGGACGCCCTGAGTACCCCTCACATCCTTCGCAGCAACCCTATTATCCCTCACGTTCTCCCGGTCCTTGTGGACACAGTCCAATTGAGATGTCTCCTTGCTCTGCACATCTGTCTGCACACCCATCTCATGCGTACTGGGGCTCCAAGCCCCCTAGCAGTCCCCCTCATCCTCGTTCACCTGCAGGTCCTCCTGAGGGTGGCCACTGGTGATACGACCCTGCACACGAACAGGAAAGAGACACGCAGGAGTATGAACAGGAATGTCAGCTGCACGAGCAATGTAGGCAGTCGATGGGTTTCACAACTTCGCCGGAAGGCGCTCCATATGCACTTCCTCATCATATGGGGAGCAACTCATGCCCTTCTGAGAGCCCACAACCCACTCCTGTTCCTGATTTGTGTGACCACAAACAGAAGCCAGTGAAGGATAGCAAGGATTTGGACACGCAGAGCATTGCTGGTATTGGCATCATTGGTGAGGCACCTAAGAAGGAGAAGAAGTGAAGGCAGCAATGCACCAAGGATGACTCCAGTCGGTCAGATTCTAACGGCATTGACACCATATTGCCAATCACTCCATCCTTATAATATGTAGATACTATCTCACATTTTAGCATTTGCCTTTTCTATAGCAGAACTTTGTGGTTTGCCGCCAAACAACCAGGATACATCACTCTTAGGGTTAGGGTTATACCATAATTGGAAATCCGTCCCAGGACGGCCCTAGTCTAGGGTTGGGTTCTGAATGTGGCTACAGTGAGAGACTACAAATTGTTATCTCACATTAAAATATATTATGTATGATTACTATCCAGTGTACATAGTACAGTCTCAAGCACAATGACAGGTTCTACCACAAGCATGGCAAGGGTCTTTCCTTGGCATATTAGGATTCATATAGTGCTCTCGCTTCTCCCGAGGATTGTCATTCCATGACAACAGGTACTTGAAGATTGTACCTGGATTGTCAAAATTTTCGGCCCATCCTCCCCAATCACATATGTCTCCAAAGTCCCATCTGCATACCTTGTATAAGAATTGACATCCACCTCGTTGGAAGGAGTGAGTACCATAAGGACGTGGGTCCACGCCAATATCCAGGAGGTTATTGCGAAAACACTCAAGGAATGCATCAGAGGTCTAGGCCAGATAAATGAGAAGAAGCAGCATTGCCAATAAGCATAGGACACTTACCATACCATCTGTGGGATTCACACTAATACTGTCGGTACCAATTTTCTTCCGAAAAATAAACCCATCGAGATTCTCACACCTCTCCCTTGCTAACATCCACCACACTGCAAACATTCGCACCAAGCACATCCACAGACGTTGCTCGTCAGCATACACATAGAATGGTGCTATCCCTGTACAGTCACTGGTCAGCTCCAATGTGTTGTGCATACTCATCAAGCAACGCACCTCCATATTGATGGGTTTTTCTGAATGGCAGTTCGAGTCTCACACGGAAGTCAGCAGGTTGGAAGCCCTCACCCTGAAGCAATAGTTCGGCAGAAGCATCAAGCCAGTTTCCTTTAATCGAGTTGTCCTTGACTTGGAATGTGATATCTGCCCAGGTGATCCGCAGGGCCTTGTCATAGCGCAGGAGACAGATCATTGAAACCAAATAAAGTAGCAGGAGCATACTGTGAATCGTGAATCCTGCCCACTCTGCTGGATTTTCAGCCTTTCGCTTGCAAGATGTTGGCCCGTACTCTTTGCGTGGTGTTGCCCAGAGAAAATCCCACAGGTGCTTCATAGTTGCTTTGTCCATGGCTCGAGCACTTGTAACAGCCTCCCCAGACCGTACCTAACAATAATGTCAGTCAGAGTTGTGATGGGAAATGTACAGAGCACTTACCTTTCTTCGATGGAGACTAACCATGTATTGTGAGACTGTGACTGAGAGCAATGGGTTTCCGATGGACTTTCCAGGGATTGTTGGATGTTGTGACCATGGTTGTGTCCCAAGCTTGTGGTCACGACCAAACTTGTGGCTCATGGCAGCTCGCATCTTCTGCGCAGTGCCATATGTCGCACGTGGGACATTTGGAGGCTTTGCCTTGCCGGTTTAGATATCATTTTTGTCGCATCTGCAAACTCTGAGTCAGTCATGCATAGCATGAGTTTCACATAGCACGACTTACTTGTCCATTATCCAGAGTGCGATCCACATCGGAAAGTCAGTAGGAAGATCAGGATAGAGGCCGTCGATATCATCAGCCAACACAACCTTGTTTATAGTCACACAAAATTCCTTGAATTGATTCCAGTACCTGCACTGCATGTCAACAAGTGCTGCAGAGAGAATATGATGTCACATACCGCTGATAGTCGGAAAGAGTGGTGTCAACGATGACACCTGCCGAGGCCGTCTCAAGGCTCGCTGATAGTTGGTCATGGTGCACTGGGACAGTCATGGTGGCAGCCGTCCTTTTATGTTTTGATGGCAGGGTGCTGGCTTCATTTGTACTGCTGCGCAGTATGCCACAGGCGGCCTGGTTGTCGACGTCGAAGCTATTGAGGAGGGATTCTACCTCCTCATCTTGGTCTTCAGCTGCGGCTTCAGTACTGATGCCTTGGGATTCAACAAGATAAGCAGTGGCACCCTTCAGTTGAGCTAGAGACATAGCAAAAAATAAGTATAGCTGTGAGACAACTCAGACAAGTCCAAGTGTGGATGCTTCTGATATAAGTTTGGTTCAATTTGAATTTAACAGCAAGAACTACCATTTGACACACCATACTCTCCCTGAGCAAAATCATGCTGGAATGCAGTGATGGAGAAGAAATACTCTGCCTACCAGTCCTCGGCCAGGAATACACACCTGGAACACCACTTGTCACCTACCAATTACTGGTGTAAGCAAATCCAGCCTCTAAGACGCGCACAATGTACTGACACATTAATTGAACCTGCTTACGGACAGAACCCGAAGAACAATGAAAGCTGATGTACAAGAGAAACTCAAACAGTACGGAAGGCCAGTCAGCGGTAACTGAGAGGAAGTGTTGCAATGCCTTCGAGCATTCTCTGAAGATGATAAGGAATGGCTGAGGTACGCAGCATCCAAATTGTACAGGACCTGTTGACCCATGAGCATCATAGCTTGTTCCAGCCAAAACTAAAGCGAAAGCGAGGGGAACATACCTCTCGCAAGACATTGTCCTGGAAGCGGGTTGAGGATACATTTGGGGCAGTGCCACCAACTCTCACTTACAAGAGCAAGAAGAGTGCGGACCGCACTCAATGTGCTCTAACTGATAAGGATCGCTCTGCAAACACATCATGGGTGAGATCTGTGCCGAGAATGACAAAGAAGGTATTGCTCACTGCTACTGTGCATCTGTCATGCAGGCTACAGCTGTCTTCTCGGCATTTGGAATGCCAATGGACTTCAGCTGTGCGCCGTCCCTTCCAAAACACAGACGGACACAGATAGAACTGGCCCAACAGACTCTTGAAGTGCTGGCAGACTCAGAGCTGATGGGGTGTGGTTCCCTACATGAACAGGTAGATCATTTATCAATTTTTCAAGAAAAGATGACATTACCACTTACTGACTTATGTAGGAGTCATTTGCCGTGCGCATGCGGAGAGTTGAGAACAATGTACAGTCAGTCAGAGATGACATATATAACATCGAAGGTAGTATCAACAAGGTGGCCGCTCATGTCATGGATGTGAAGTCATTGGTTGGCTGCTCCACACTGTCTCCGATTTGCGAGAACCACATTCCCCACCAAGCACAGTGGCCTATGGGTCAATCTGCTGGTACAACTACTGCAGTACTGCCATCGTCAAGTCAGCCAGTCAGTTCGCCCCATTCAAATTTAAACACTGTACCTCAGCAGTCCATCCCCTCAGCTAAACTTGGCATTGCTCTGCTTGGCGATGAACGGTTTGAGTACGACAAAACACGGGTCCCAGAGCCACCGACAATTCACCTTTCGAAGGATATTGATAGGTTGTGCAAGGAGTGGGAGAGTTCGAACTTGCTTTGTGTGGGTGGTCGTGGAATTCCTGTGAAATACTGGGGTGAGTTCTACAAGAGAGCAAAAGGCGCCAAAACAACAGCTTGGGATGCTCTAAGGGTTGAGTGGGGGAATTGGAAGGTATGGCCTTGATTCGTACTTCAGCACTACTGTCTTGATTAATCCAAACCTCCGTCTAGTTTATTGCCGAGGAGCGCCAGCATTATCCAGATACCGCCTCCTTCTGGTGTGCATTCAGTGATGGAAACGGCAAGAGATTTTCTTATCAGCAAATCCTTAACTGCATCGCCGAGCAGCGGACTGCTGCTGCAGCTCGAGATGCAAATAATGCACGCACATTTTTTGGTGGAAATCTCGACCACCCATTGGCTCAGGGTGCATTCCGCTATGCCAAGGGTAGCAAAACATATCTATTACAAAAGGATGACGCCATTGCAAAGAAATGGCGTGAACTTCTCTCGATGCAGCCAGACATCTCAAGTGTTCAACGTGACTCCTCTCAGTAGCGCTCTCGATCTTTTCTTTTCTTTTGCTTGCATACAAACTTCTATAGTACATCAAAGTTTTAATCAAGTACCATACTTTAGCCAACCTGCAATCCTCACAGGTTCACTATTTCCCTATGACTTATGAATGTCAGCTCCGGTTTGAAACTTCTCATGCCAGTCGCCAATCAACAAATATACGAGAAAAGCCGGTGAGCGCTGGTAGTAATAGACGAGAGATGCCACTGAGTGCCGGTATGCCAATGCGCTCGAAGATATCATTGACAAACGAGTTCAGGATGGCCATGGCCTTGTTGGAGATACCGGTATCAGGGTGCACCTGCCTCAACACTGCTATGAAAGTCAGACACAATGAAAAAGTAGAGGAGGGCGTACCAATGCGCTCGAAAATGTCGTTGACAAATGAGTTCAGGATGGCCATGGCCTTGTTGGAGATACCGGTATCAGGGTGCACCTGCCTCAAACACTGCGATGAAAGTTAGACCTGCAATGAAGAAGTAGAGGAGGGCGTACCAATGACAAACGAGTTCAGGATGGCCATGGCCTTGTTGGAGATGCCCTTATCAGGGTGCACCTGCCTCAAACACTGCGGCCAAAGTTAGACCTGCGATGAAGAAGTAGAGGAGGGCGTACCAATGCGTTCAAAGATATCGTTGACAAACGAGTTCAGGATGGCCATGGCCTTGTTCGAGATCCCTGGTATCGGGGTGCACCTGCCTCAACATTTGTTAGCCTTGTCGGCAGGACTCGACGAAGAAGAAGTAGAGGGAGGGCGTACCAAGATATCGTTGACAAACGAGTTCAGGATGGCCATGGCCTTGTTGCAGAGATCCCTGTATCGGGGTGCACCTGCCTCAGCACTCGTTAGCCTTGTCAGGCAGTCTTTGCAGGTGCCTTTGAGGCAGTTGAGACGAAGTCTGGCTTAGGTGCCATTTGATGATCTGGGTGGGGCAGGAGATGAAGCGGATCAGTGAGAATTGATGGACGCACCAACAAAATGCGTCTGATCCTGTTTAGTCTTTGCAGGTGCCTTGGAGGCATCTGAGACTCTGACTTGGGTGCCATTTGATGATCTGATGGGTAGGAGATGAAGCGGATCAGTGAGAAACAGAAAGCGGTCCGACAGTGAGAATGATGGACGCACGAAACATTTCCAAAACACGTCCGATCCTACCCCAAAAATGGCAGTTCTTCGACGGACGACGGCGACAGTCGTCCGTTTCATCCTGTCTTGTGATCCGCGTCGTTGATCGATGGTGGTCGAGGTCCAGGTGGAGCGTGATTGGAAAATGAGCTCAAGGAGGAAGGCAGCGCTGTGGCTGAGTCGTCACGTGTCACGTTTGCAGGCAAACCTCACCGTCAATTTTTCACACGAAGTAATTTGAACAAAATCATAATGCGCACGGCCTCTAGCACTACTCAATCTACCATCCAATCATAGTCTGTACTCTCGCATTCCATTGCGGCCCTCTAGCACATCCCTGCACGCCTACATGAACCTTCCCAATCCTCTAAAAGCGCTATACTTCGTCCAGCATCTAAGCTCAGGGCCCGGCTCTTGTCCGTGCCATCGTTTGGTTTTCGCAAGGTACGTCACAGTGTGGTTGCGCGGCACTGTCATGATGCTTACAAACTGAACAATTTCAGTTCAAAAACGTTCGGACAAAGAAATCTCAACTCTGCGAACAAGCGGTAAGGTCTGTACACCAAACTAGTGTAACATTAATGCAGACCCATGCATTAGGGTTCGGGAATGCGGTCGCCTGCACTCCGAACGGCGACCCTCAGATGGCACCAGTCGTGACTACAAGTGCATGTGAGAAACATATCAGATGGTGCGTCATTGCTATTATGCACATGTTGGGCTTGGCAGGAACTTACGATGCTTAGTAGATGTCTGTCTTGGGCGAAACCCGAGATACAAATCCAGAGGCTGTCAACCTCGACCTCGTCGAAGATATGGTGCGCAGTCAGCTCATCGAACTCGTGAGTGATCTCAACTTTAATGATGAGATTCATCTGTGATGTGTTATCATAATGCTACTCTTGATCTCGCAAGCCCACATCCACGGGAAATATGTGAGCACAATCTTTGTAATGTTGTGCGCTGTGATTCTAATCATCATATCAGGACGTTTTTGGTCAAAGAGCATTCAGACATGAGTGGCTGAAGCAAGGAGTGTATAACACTAAAGTAAGTATATCAAGAGCACACTTGGATGGTTGGACGGTCCTGATCTCTCCCCTCTTGTCAACCAGGTGCTTCTCCTCCTGATTGGCATGATGAATGATGAGAATCTCCATGTGAAGGATACAACGGCGCGGACACTCGGACGAATCTGCAACCTTGTAATGGTATTTTACTGTCACGCGATCGACATTCTTGGTGTGTTTCATTCTGAGTTCTTCTCGTGTTTGTTTCACTAACTAAGTACCACTCGCAGCGGGTATGGGTGCAGGTATGGCCCCCAGTACCCAGGGGTTTATGCGTGCTGATCCCTACCTGTCGTTATCTACTATATGTAGTACCTGAATTTCTGAAGCAATCAACTATATTCCATTAATCTCGGGCGCTCGCTGACAATGCCTTTTGCCTTGAACGCTACCACCCTATCTATGGACGCAGAACCTCCACTCCCCTTGCCAGCGTGGGTTCGGTCGGCGCTTCCCTCATGCTTTGGGGTCCTCGGTTTCTTGCTTAGCTTCTGTGGACGCGTCATCACAACTGCCGCCTCTAACTGCCACTGCCTCGACACTTTCTGCAGTTACTGGTACTGCTGGAGCATCAGGAAGTCCTCGTACCACAGATATCGGATGGTGCGCTCGTTTCGTGGGCTGGATTTGCTGCGCATCTGTTCAGAACGCAGACGGTCACCATGAGTCTGGCCGGTTCATCCTTACCAGAATTAGACTGTGTGCTCCATCAAAATTTTGCTTGCTAGAACAGATACCGGTAACCCACGTATTTATGTCACACTTCGATTAATTCACTTCTCACTGCCAGCATCATCAGCTGCTTCGCCCTCTGACCTAGACCCAGATCCAGCATTCTCATACAAGTCCTATGTGCTTCCATTACAGTTGAAGGAGAAGGTAGCTGATATGATATCCCGTAGACTAATGTTAGCATTAATTAACGCGATTAGCCCCAAGTCATTCTTCTTGCAGGAGGAAACACGCCTTTCCGAAACGACACAAATCGCGAGCTACCATTTCGCCAAGAGTCTAATTTCTACTACCTCACAGGATGCTCTGTGCCTGGATCGTTCTTTCTCGCTTTGTACAGCTCCAGGGTGCATGAGACAGTCATGCGCGTTGATTGAGAAAGAGGCGGAGGTGGAGGAGATCTTCGTTGTGTCGTGCCGGCGTGAAGGGTACGAACGCACTAAATATCGATGTCCGATAACTCACCAATGACATCAGGGCCGTTCATCAAGCATATCTCCCTATCGTCGCTGCCTCCAGGAGAGCAGCTACGTTACACTACTGCTGTAATGACCGAGAGTTCACTACTGAAGTACTGATCCAGAGCATCGCAAATGGTGCGATGTGATGTTCATCGATGCGCTCACCTGATGAATCGTCAGCTTGATTGGTTTGAAAGCAATATGAAGGATTTCTGACTCAGGCCCCTCAACCCGCAGCGCGTTGCGACCTGTGAGTAGCCCTAGCGTTAATAATCATGGTGATTCTTGATCTTCGACTTATTCAAGAGTCCTTTAAGCAGGATTGGATCATCCGTGCGGGAGGTTCGTATAAGGTTTTAAATCCTAATAGGTTCCTCAACGTTCAATATCGGTGACAAAAGACTGTTGGCTGCCTCAACTCCAACTTCACTCAGGGCACCGAGTGCCGAGTACCTTGATTGAATATATGCAAAGCGTGCCCTTTATTTTCATCGCTAAAAACGATAAAGCCATATCTTACGACGCACGATCAACGTTTCGCACCCTCGAGGACTCACCAAATACCAGGCGCGTGTTTTAGCAGCTCGTAAAGAGTTTGTCCATCATAAAAGGGAAATACAGTGTTCCGGACATCCGATTCAGTCTGGACTAGTGACCGCGGCCTAACTTTCTCTGTGCTGTCAGCCTGGGGGGACGCACTGGACTACTACCATATGTATCCGTTCTTATCTGATATCGCACCTTGCATAAATCCGCTTTCGAGCCGTAATAAAATTCTCGAACATCGTTTGAACAGCTTCCCTACCGAGGTTATCGAGTTAAAAAAATTTCAGTGTGCCGTTGGCTTCTAGCGCTAGGAATTCGGTAGTCTCCACGGAATTCGAAACGCCAGCCAGCTTCACTCGTGTTGGATATTTCTCAGAATCATGGGAGCTTCTGATCTGTACATCGGGAGATAAATGTATTATGGACAGCAATACTATCATGTACGTTCGAGTCGGTCAGCTAGAATCTGCATATGATGTATGGTATAAGGTTGACGTGACACGATAATGACCACGAAAAGTCTCCACTTACACTGTTGGAGAAATTCATCATTTCGATCAATGTCAAGTTCTCCACAGGTGAAACCTGCACCACAGTAAATAAGAAACTACCGTCCCGTCTTTCACATGTGACATGCTGGTCGCAGAATTCGTGAACAGGATAATCGACAATATTTGATTCTCCGGATTCTGATGATCCTGCAACCGACGTTCCCCATCATAGCACAAGCGTGTTCCAATATCACAAGAGGGAGCATAGAATGAGCCTACACGAGTACCTAGATCTATTTTATCTGGCTGTACTGTAAACAGAGTTTTGAATGCGAGGCAGTCAGAAATCAACGAGACCTGGACAGCGAGTCAAATTCATTCCTAATCACTTCATCGGCTCCATCCGCCGAAGGACGGCCCCAAGGATTAGTAGACCAACATTGCTCGATAAATGGCCAGCATTGCTCAGGGAGCTCAGGATAACGAGATCGAGAGGGCGTTTGCGACTTAGCTATGCAGAGTATGATGGCGGCATCGTTTGTGAGGTGATAATAGGGTGCTTTGTTAGTGAGGACCTACGAGTAGAGCTTTTCATATTAACGAGAGGCCAAAATTAACCCAGACGTACCTGCAGCATGATACCGTCAAACGAATACATGTCGCTCTGCTCGCTTGGCCGAACTTGAGAGCCATTCTCCCGCTCGACGAGTAGCTCAGGGGCCATCCATCGCATGTTTCCTTTGATTGCGGACGTCCAGGATGCCTGGGAGGCGGAGGGCACCTGAGTCAAAGATACACTAGAATCAAAGCATATAGTTAGTATATTGACTGCCACAGGGTCATTGAGCTCGCACGGAGGCCTCCAGCCATAGCAGAGCTCTCACCTGCAGCAGGGCACAAAATAACTAATAGTAAGGAACAAAAACAAAGACATCGGTTTCGGTAATCATGTGACTGACGTGAAAGTTTGTCGCACAAGATTTCCCCCTCATACAAGCGTGTGTATTATTAGTAAGCAACGCTTAATCTAAATTTAGACTCGTCAATATTGCAAAATCCATATTCTATTCTAAATAAAGCTTAGCGCTGCGTACTTCAGATCAGCTTCAATACCACACAACATATCTATATCACAATGGCAGAAGACAATCTGAACCCCGCCGATTTCGTAAGGACATTGTATTTTGCATCCGCGTGAGTTCTCATAGCAAAATTAGATACCCGCGGATGCACTTCAAGTACCAGGGCCACTGTTAATCAGTGATTCCGCGATCGTAAGCATTTGACTTGTATCGTATTGGTTAAACTAAGCTAGTGTAGAATGTATGGAATACTGCAACTGATACGGCTCAATATCGCATCGAAAATCGCATCACCGTACCACCCATTCCGGTTCAAACGACTCTCGAAGACAAGTGTTGGTAACGCTCATGGCGTTGCGCAA